ATTTCAATGATAATTTCTGAATTTTGAAACTTTAATACCCTCAAGTAACTATTGAGTGTTCAAATGTCAAACATGGGTTTCCAATATATGTAATTCAACCACATTTGACTAATCCAGTAAACTACAATGGTTAAAAGCTCAACTCATTTTGAAAATTTAAAACAGCGAAATTCCATTTATGTCATTTCAAGTTTGAATGGTTGAAATTGTTTTTAGCTCATTAATTGTGTTAAGTGTATTTATTCATTAATCACATATTAATATTCCAATAAACTTGAATTCAAACTCCAACTAATAAAATTTATTTTTAATAATTATATAATATGAAAATATATAATTTTAAATTGATTGAAATTTTTTATATTCATAAAACATTAGAACTTGATTTGGATAATAAAAAGGATTTTTCTAATGAAACAAAAATAATGGATTAGATGTCCCAGATAGTAAACTTTAGCTCTCTCTCTAGCTCTCTCTTTTCTTGCGTCCTTCTAGATTTTATTTTTAAACCACCGCCGACCGTCTTCTTTAGTCGGCGGTGTTTCTTTTCATCTCTCACTGTCGTTTTTTTTATTATTATTTTATATAGTTTTCTTTCTACTAATTTTTGAACCTATGATCATTTGGAAAAAAAAAATGGATTTAATGTTTTTGGTACCTCTTATTTAGGTTATTTATTTCTCTCCTTTCATGGAGTTATTTTTCATTATTGAGAAGTTTTTATTTGGATTTATTTTTTTGGCAATTCAAAATACAAGATGGATTATTGGTTGCTTGTGGTTGGAGACTTTAGATCTTCAAGTTCGGGTAAGTTTCTTTTACTAATGGAGGCTGGTAATGTAGCATGTTCCTCCATTAAAGTTTGTTATATTAAACTCTTCTATGGGTGACAGTTGTAACAAGTTTCTGAAAAAATAATGTTCGGGAAAATATTATAGAAAGTTTCTTTTATTGTCCTATTTGAAAATGGACCAGTTCTCCTTACCCGGAAGATTAATCTCTTCTACCAAGATTAGGAATATCTCCAAACAGAAGATTTCAATTTTCTATATTTATATTTCCTATTTCTATAAGAATATTATTATGATGTATTCGACTTATATTTATTATTAATGAATTATTAAATTAAAAAAAAAAAGATTTGGTTTAACCAAAAAAAAGATATATAATTGTACATTACTTCATCCATGAGCCACATACACATATAACTTGGTTAAAAAAAAAAAAAATAGCAATGCTTGTAATTGTACAAAATTTTTTGAATTTTAAGTTGCTTCTCTTGTAGCAATGACATAATTTTCAATGATCCAATTACCTATGGTTGTTTTGTAATACACGAAAGGACTAGCTTTATCCTGAATTTACTAAATTAGTTAAAATATTTGTGGTTGAGAAAATTTAAATTTAAGACCTCTCACTGATCACATGAGTGAAAAGACCAAATAGACTACACGTGATTGAGTTTATTATTTTTATTTTGCACACTTATCATTAAATAATTAAAAGTAAAAATTGCCCATTATATGATTCCAAAAGCGACGATCCTTTTGGCTGCTCATTTTCCTTTTTTTCTTTCTATCTTCACCCATACTGCAAGCTAAGATCATTCATGATTTTGTCATTTACCAACCAAAATATTTCATCCACAGTGGTGCATATTTTAAGAGGAAAAGGGGCAAATTGCCCATTTGGAATCCAAAAGGTGTCCATTTGTAATATCCATTTGATCATTTGCCCACTTAATAATAATAATATTCATAAAAAATAATAAAATATTTTCATTAAAAAAAAAAAAAAACGAACACAATTTGATTGTGCGCTTAATACTAAACAAGACGGTCAATATTGTGTTTGGCATTATTTTTTTAACTTATTATTAAATTAAGAAAACATTCCATTGAAAATATTACTTAAATGTTATAAAATTTATTTCTAGAACAAAATTTTTCTTTTATAATAAAAAATCCGGTACTTGGAAAATAATTTTCCTGAACCAGTCTTCACGAATATGGGAACTCGCTTCATGTCTTTACTTTGCAAGGGGACCTATTTTACGCGTCTTTACTCAGATATATTCCAAAACAGCTTAATATTATAAATAACAAGAACAAGGAATTTCCATATAGAATTTTCGTAGGCTTTAGTCCATATAGAATTTTCGTCAACCTGGTCATGCAAGAACAAGGAATTTCCTTCTAATAAAAATAAACCAAATTTTATTTTTACATTAATTAAGAAAATATTTTCTTTATATTAAAAAAAACCCCACAATTTTCTTTATTTTTTTTTCATACACCCTTAATCTTTTCTTAGACTACGAATATAAACTTTTTGTATTTTGCTTAGTTGTTTACTGCAAGATTTGATCAATAGTAATAGTAACATCCTTCCTGATAAAGATGCATGCTAAATAGAGGTATAATAGAAAACTGAAAAAACTTTTTTTTTTTTTTTTTTTTAAAAAAAATAGAAAACTGAAAAAAACTTTTTTTTTTTTTTTTTTTTTAGAAGAGAAAATTAAGGTTTCTAATTGAAATAAATAAAAAAAGGGAAAGCAGCCTATTTTTTTTTTTTTTTTTTTAGAAAAGAAAATAAGGTTCTAATTTGAAATAAATAAAAAAAGGAAAGCAGCCTTATTTTAGAGGGAGGAACATAAAAAGTCAAGTCCACGAACTGCACTTGCCATTCAACCAATTCTCAATTTAATTAATATGAATGAATTTTGAAAACAACTTTTAACCCTTCCTTCACCATAAGCATGATAAAAGATGATGCAATTACACAAGAACGCAACTAACACCAAAAACTACCCAAATGAAATAAATGTTAGGGTGATCAAGAAACTCAAAAGTAAAAGCTTCTAAGAATGGAAGAATGGGCAAGAACCAAGATTGATAAAGATGACAACCAAGTTATAATAAGAGGATGAAGAAAATGAAACATTGGCTTTGCCCATTGTTTTTTTGCTAGAAGTAATGTTGTAGTAAGTAGGAACATTTAACCAATAAGAAACAATTTATATTCCAATAAGAGTGAGAGTATAAATTCGATCCTGAAAAACGCATTTTATTAAAAGAATAAAAAAAATTTTTATGCTCTACAGTTCGAGAAGGATTACACCTTTAGTTATATATATAAAAAACTAGAAACATTAAAAATGTGAATGAATAGGGAGAAGTTACCTCAAGAAAATGTGCGATGATTCTTGGCTTTTACAACAGAAAAAGCATTAGACATATTAGGAAATGTGTAATGATCATCATTTACTCTAATTAAGGAAGTAAATATTAGTACTAAAAACCTATATAATAACAGAAAAGGAAAAGCTAAAGGAGACAAGAGCTTCCCTTCTTCTTTTGTCCTTAATATTTTGGTCAAAACAAGTAGACGAATCAAGATAAATAAATAAATAAATAAAATTCACAAGCAAGCAAATAATGTTGCTGTTGCTCTTTAACTATGAATTCTATTTTTCATATTCTAGAAAAACACTATTGAAAGGAAATAAAAAAAAAAATTTAAAAAGGTATTAGTTGTATGAGTGATCACTCGGGCAGATAAAGCTTTTGAATCTGCAAATTTAATCAGAATTCTTCTGAAACAAGAAATCACATGCATCAAAGGAATTAGAAATCCAAAGTGTAATATTTAAATATCCGGAGTGAAATTGACTTAAATCAATTAAATAAGAGGTCGAATGTTCTACTTTTTATATCGAGAAAATCTCTACTAAAAATATTTATCCCTCGTGGGCATAATGCTATGCGAGCAGAATTAGACATCGGTTAATGGGTTGGGAACACCTATGTTATAAATAAATAAATAAATAACCAATTATTTTTTTCTTTAACTCTAAAGACATTTTTTTTTTATTTTTCTTTAAAAAAATAATGTTTTATTAATTTAAAGAAAAATTGTAAGTCCAGACTATATTCTAACTGCTCCACATACAAAAATCCTTACATGAATAAAAAGAATTTAATATGCCTATATAAATAAATTGTATACAAATAATAAAATCTGACTGATTCTTCGATAAGAATATAGCATGGCACCTCCTTTTGCCCGGATTTTCGTTTATTTCAAGGCGGATATAAAATTTTTACCCATCTTTTTTTAAAAAAAAATTATTTATTTTTCTATTAAGAAACGAAAGGATTTTTGTATCTTTCTCAGTAGTCATCTTCAAAGATAGCCCTCTTCAGGTCATGTCCCCAACCACCGGCCCAAGAAAAGTAAAAGTAAAACCATATATTATATTTTATACACTGAAAAATATCCTTGGACAAGCTTTTGTCCATAATTAATTACATTTTATTAATACGTAACATAGGGTTATCACTAAACTATTAATACCAGAGAATTGCAAAAAACTAGGAAATGCAAACAGAGAACAAGAGAAATAAAAGAAAAATGTAAAGAGAATCTTTACCCTCCAACTAGACAAACAAAGCCTGAAACTGAGAAAATACAATTGCAATGTAAAGAAACAGTAGACAGTTTATAACAACAGCTGGAAAAACTACAACAGGACATATAATAACAGAATTGCAACGCTTTTAGTACTTCACAGAGAGAAAGAAAGAAAGAGCCCTGAGCTGAGCCTGAGCCTTAACCTGAGGAGGAAGACGAAGAGAGGACCCAAGTTTTTTGGCTTTTATGTTTTATCACTGAAAAGGGAGTAAAATGTAAAACCCATGAACTGAAATTAAGCAAGTCATAGTCTTTATACAGTAGTTTTAAATAGAATGAGCATTGAGCAACAACAACTACACTTAATTTTGCTGTTACACAACACGTGAACTGGTGAAGAAAGAAGCACATACACCAAACAAAATGGAATACTTGAAGAAACTAAATTTTAAAATTAATTTAAAGAAAAAAATTCTAACCAATGAATTCTTTTCTACATTAAATGAGTTGGTAAGTAAGTTCATAATAGAAATGAACTAATTTTCAGTGCATAATTAACAGTTGCAGAGAACTCAAGAAACCCAAAAAACTAGAAAAGCAATGGATATAAAGAGTAAACCATATAATCTGTAACTAAAAAAAGTAACCCATTTGATCCAATTAAGCATCAAAACAAAAAAATTAATATGAATGACTTAGATCTTACAATGAACTTAAGCATCTGAGACAACACTAAAGTCATCCTCTTCAACTGGAGCAGGCAAGTTAAGATCTATAAGACTGTTGCTCTTTTCAAGTTTAGCAGAATTTTCAGCAAGAGCAGTAATTGTTGTTGAAGTACCCATTAGATGCGATCTTTTATGCCCACCAAGTGCTTGTCCAGAACCAAATACTTTAAAACAATATGGGCATTCAAAAATTCTTTCATTTCCATCATGGTTCTTTTTTAGCTCTGTTGCATTTAAAGAGCAAATCCTTTTATGAGCAACCAATGCTTGTGAAGATCGGAACACTTTACTACATTTTTCACATCTTAACTTCCCGCGAATCTTGTTTGCTTTGATCTCTTCTTGTTCTTGTTCTTCTTGTTCTTGTTCCAGTTCTTCATTGTTTGGCAACCAAACATCTCTTGAAAGCATCATAAGACACATAGCAACATCCTCCTCAGGGGAAGTATCAGAAACAGAGCTTACCGGTTCTGGCTCTGCTGGGGATGGGGATGGAGACTGAGATGGCGAAGGCGACGGAGAAGTTGACTCCAATAAACTTGGATTCTTCAACTTTAGTTTTTTAAAATCGAAATTCAGTTTTTGATTCTCTGCAAAACCGGATTTTCGAGTTCTTTTAGATCGTCTCCGAGTTGGATTTCTTGACTCAGTCTCACTTTCTCTATCTTGAACAACAGAACCAGCATCAATGGCGAAAGAGAACTCAGGATCTGCAAACCTGAAACTTTTCTTTGGATTTTCTCTTAATCCATAAACCAAAGCCTTTTCTTCAACTTCTGTGTTCTTGATTTCTTGTTCTTCACCAGAGGAAGAGTATGAAGATGAAGCTGACTCAGTACGGTTACCGGGTTGCTGCTGAATCGACATCGTTTTTGGAGGGAGAGGAAGGGTGGCTAAGTGGGCCTTCATGTGACCACCCAAAGCTCTGCCATTAGCGAAAGTTCTAGTACAGAGCTTGCATTTGTGCCTCTCCATTGAGGAAGAAACAGAGCAAGCAGAGATGAAAGCTCTGCCTTTCTCTCACTGTATCTAATCTAACAACAATAAAAAAAAAAAAAAAGGCTCTGCCTTTCTCTCACTGTATCTAATCTAACAACAATAAAAAAAAAAAAAAAAGTAGAAGAAGGCATATAGGAGAGATTGGGACTTTAAAAGGAGTAGTGACAAGCATTCCTCCACCAAAAGACACACAACCCAAAAATTATTGATCGTAGATATAAAATAATTAAATGAAAAACAGTTGTAAATGTAAAATAAAATAAAATAAAGTAAAAAATTATATAATATAAAAAAAAAAAAAAGTAGAAGAAGCATATAGAGAGATTGGAGAACTTAAAAGGAGTAGGTGACAAGCATTCCTCCACCAAAAGACACACAACCCAAAAATTATGATTCGTAGATATAAAATAAATAAATGAAAAACAGTTGTAAAATTGTAAAATAAAATAAAATAAAGTAAAAAATATATATTTTTTTATTCCACGGTCTTACCATCCGCTTATCCGCATCCGATTAATCCATTATTGTTAATGGTAATTAAGTAAAACCCTTTTAATACTGAGCAAGTAAAATCTTCCTAACAGCGGGGAATAGAAGTCATAAAATGTGTGTTCTTTAAACGGCAAATGAGAGACGAAAGAGGGACAAGTAACATGCAAACCTTGCTCATTAGTGATTAGTGTAACTAAGCTTTTCTTTTTACCACTTTTTTGGAAGTTGATAAAATGCCAGATAGACAAAATTATATATATATATAAAATTACACTTTTGCTGTGTTTAATTAGTTTAATTTTCAAAAGATATGATGATGATCAATGGAGGTGAACAATTCTCGATTTTTAATATAGTATCAAATCAAATTAACTCAGTCGGTCAAATTTTGATAATTGTTTTACAAATTCAGTTATCGATTAGTTTGGATATATAAGACGATTTGGTTTTTTAATTTTGATTTTTGATTTGATTATCATATATAATTAATTAAATTTATTTTAAGTTCAAATAATTAATTTGATTTGAAATAATCGAATTCAAATCGAACCAAACCAATTTAATTTTGATTTGAATTGATTTTTATACAATTTAATTTCGGATTTGAATATTATAAAAACATATTTGAATAACTTAAAATTGAGCTAATTCGATTTGATTAATCGAATGTTTATCTCCAATAATTACCATCATCTTTTTTTTTTTAAATTTATTTCCCCAAAATTTAAAATTGGATTTCAATTTGAATACACATAAGCGGATGTTGTTCGGCCCCATAGCTTAACTTTTCAGGCCGATTTCCGTGACTTGATTTATGAAACCATGAGTTTTATATTGAAATAAATCGTGCATTTCGAAATACCAATGATGTGCCTCACTATTTTTTATCAAGAAGTTTATTTATTTATTTTTCCTACTAGTATTTATCCTACAAGATTAATATCATTTTGAAATTCGCAATCTTTCTCCATCAAATTTTAACTTATAATACAAGAATACAAGAGCTACATTAGTTTTTTAACCTTAATTTGTAAAATGTAGTTAGGAAAAATGTTAATTTGATTTTACGGATTTAAATTCAATATTATAAATGTGCATCCACAAATTTACTTTTTTTTTTTTTTTTACAATACAAATTTAATCTTTTAAAGAAATAAAATATGCACTGATCACAAGATGCAATTGGATTCCACACTAATATATAGTGTAACAGCATATATATATATATACACACACACGATCTCGCAATTAAATTCAGATTTAAATTCCTTTTTCAATATAAAAGATGCAATTGGATTAAAAATAATTAAATTTAATGTGACCATTTATAAAAAAAAGATGCTAATAGTTAATGAAATATAATATGGCTACTCTTCTCGGTCCAATGGTAGTACATGGTGTCAGGTTTAAGTCACTTCAATTACCAAATATTACTACTATCATATTACAGATTCATTAATGCAATTTACTTCTATTTAGCACATTCACCGGTAAAAAAAAAACCTGCAAAAGATATTTTTTTTACACGATTTTGGATAATTGCATTTCATTACTATTTATAAAACGAGCTAAGTAACACATAGAATTTTATCATCAGAATTGAATATGTAAATATATTAAATGAAGTATATAATAAAAGGTAGGTTGTTTGTTCTTATAAATTATAATCCGTCTGATACGCAAAATTTAAGCATGAGATTTTCTTAATCAAAGTTAAATCACAGGTGTTTCTAGCGGCTCATGTGGTAGCATTCCTGTAAAAAGTGACGTCAGCGAAAAATTTTTCCGCTCACAGCAATCCAACACGTAACTCACGATTAATTAAGTGATATGAGTGGTTTTCACTTGGACAGTTGGCTATATTTCGAGTTCAATCATCTAGCATTATTTTGGCTGTTTGCCTATTGCGAGATTGAAGTTCACGAATCAGTGGCTCGCTTACAGTGGAAAAGATTGGTTGGTTAGTTGTTATAGCGTGCTAGTTGGCAATCCGCGTGTGATACCACGTGTCATGTACATTGTCAAAACTGTACTCTCTAATAATATGGAAAAAATAAAATATGATATTTATTTTTTTATATTGTTGGAGTCCATATTTAATGTGTTAATTTTATTTTTATTTTTTATAAATCGATTTTTTTATCAGATAAATTAATATTTTTAACATAATTTTTACTCAAAAACTAAAATAAATATACTCTCAGAAAAATAAAATATGGACTCTTCTTTCGATTGAAGCGAAGAAGTTTATAGCAAGTTAAGCCGCTACGAAAAATTAAATCTATGCTTAGTTTCTTTTTCGAAAATAAATTTTTTAGTAAACATTTTTTTAAATTTTCACATATTTATAGTACTTAGAAAAATTAGTTAATATATAATATTTTAAATCAGTTTTTTAAAGTATAAATTTTGAACAGTAATAAATTTATTATAATTTTATAAAAATTAAAAATCTATGCTTAGTTTCTTTTTCGATTAAAATAAATTTTTTAGTAATATCATTTTTTTACATATTTTTCACTTATTATTTATTATAGTACTTAGAAAAAAAATTAGTTTAATATATAATATTTTTATTAAATCAGTTTTTTTATATTAGTATGGAAATTTTTGAACAGTTATAAATTTATTATATTTTTTTTTATTAATATATATTTTATTCATTTTATTAATTTTTATTTGATCGTTTTGTTATTCACTAATTAATAAGTAAATTTTATCTTTAATTTTATTCATCTACCTTTGCTATATAAATATATACATTTTATTAATTTATTGATCGTTGTAGTCACTAATTAATAAGTAATTACTAATAATCACCACCGCAACAATATACTACTTTTAATAATCAAGAACACTATTATTTTCTAGTTTCATGCATTCTTTTCTTATTTAATAATAAAGTTTTAAAATACTAATTTTAATATAATTTTAAATTTTTTTGAGAAATAATTTTAAAATTTTTTATTATCTTATAAATTAAAATTATAATATTATAGTCAATTTCTAGTGGATAAGGTGGAGTTCTTTTTATTTTTTAGGTCTTAGTGGCTATGCTATTAATTTCTAATTTAATTTTATAAGCACTCAGTAGTATTCTATTAAATATTAATGTCTGCGGCCAGCCTCAACTGCAATGGGGAAGAGGCCTTAGCACGCCGGTTGGAGGAATAGTCAGTATCGCATTATTCATGATTTCATGTATGATATTGCTCGATGGATACTTCGTCCACGCTCCTCTGACTCTCGTGATTATATTGCCGTTAAATCTAATTTCGGTTTATTTGTTTATAAAAGCTATTCAAAAAATTATTCCTAACATATTAATTATAATAAATTTATTTCAAATTAAAGGATGGAAACAGAACTAACTAGAGATCAATTGCCACGTAGTATTTTAAAAAATTAGAACATTTAGAATTTTTTATATCGGAATGAATTAGTTTAGATATCAATTAATTGACATTCTAACTTAAAACGCAGAAAACATGTAATCAAGCATCCTAAAAGGTGAATGTTATAAAATTAGTGAATGGAATGTTATATCTTAAATAAAATATTTTCCCCTAAATCCCATACTACTTCTACATTCACTGTGTTTGTCTTTGGTGTTTGTAGATGGTGACCAGTAACTGCCGTTTATTACCCAGACCGAGTCATCGGAGCCGGTGAACCCAACAAAATCAAGAGTAATAATAAAACGAAGCTACACGCCACAAAGTACATCTTCTTGATTTGGTACAGTACACGCATCTCGAGGCGAGTGGGCTTCTTTTTTTCATATAGACTACACAGAAGAAAAGATACCTCCTCAATCCTCATTGCTTCAGTTTTTCTCTGAACCATTCAGGTACTATACTATGCTTATACTGTGTCTCTGTCATATGTGCATACCACCAAGCAACAAAATCTACACACGTTGCCTATATGCATAGTTTTTGCGCCTGCCGCCTTAATTTTTAATTTCCCACGCGCTTCTTCTTCGACGACCGGTTTCCGTTTCTTGTTCTTGTCGTTTGATTCTATATGCAAAGAAAAGGTTATGGCTTCTGTTTCGTGTCCCTATCAGGTTTCGATAGAGAAATATAAGGTTTTTGAATATTTAAAGTTTTTAAAATTAGGAGGAGAAAAGCAGTCAAAAAATAATTTTAAATTAGTGAACCAATTTCAGTTTGTTGCAACAAGAGTAACCAAATACAAAACTACATGTGGATCGGGTTAGGTAGATTCTTCGGACTAAATAGGACCATTCGGTCGAATCGTGGCTTGATGGATGAGACAATCCAAAATAACTGATTGGGTCGGATCAATACATATTTTATTCAAAAAAATTGTAAAAATATTGAATTATCAAATAAAATATTATGCAAATACTGAAAATTATAAATAAATTTATAGCTAATTATCAAATTAAATATCATGTGAATACTGAAAATTCTCTCAATTATTATGCGAATCAATAAAAGAAATAAATACATTTTTTGATGAATCACAAAATCAGAGACAAAAATATCAAAAACACGGTTTGAAAATACATTCAAAACTTATAATGGTAAAATAAAATAATGCAATGACTTGTTTTTTTTTTTTCTTGATTGAAATTTAGATCTCGAATTCATATTTGGGTTTAATATTTGAAAGCCATATCAATACATATCCATCTCCATGTTCCATTAATTACTATACTCCCCAAACTTGAAAGGGTCCCATGACAAGTTCTCTTCAACATCCAATTAGGAAGAAACTAATTATCTAATGCAAGTACTCATGTTTATAATATTCAATTTCACCATTAATAGCCAATCACAAAATAACAAATGAGTATATTCAACAAATATCTATAAATTAAAGTCCAATTACATAAAAAATAGTAAAATAAAATTTAACTTATTACAATTTACCATAATAAAAATTAAACAGATCTTTAACATAAATAATAAGAATAATAATAATAAAAGGAAATGCAAATTCCAACTATATATGTGATAATGTTGTTGGTAAAAGGTTATGTTTAAAGCCTTTGATTCTTAGCTTTTTATATTGATTTTGACCTAAATGGTCCTTTTATTTTTTTTTTTTCTAGTGCAAAGTCCACTAGTAAGTAAGTGCAATACTTTTGCCAAATTACATAAAATAACAAAAAAAAAAAAAAGTAAATTTATACAGGTCTTAGTTAGCGGATGACTGAACATAGCAATTCCCTTCGGTCTTTTATTTCCAAATTGTGAAAGCTACATCAATATGGTCTTTGAGGCTGCAAGTTTGGTTTGACCTAGTCTTGTTCAAGTTAGAGATGCCCATGGACCCTACCTTAGGTGGAAATTTATGGGAAAATCACATTACTATCTTTGTAGTTTACGAAATATAACGACTCCATCTCCATCTTTTATAAAATATATTAATTTATTCTTATGAAATAATGAAATTAAAAGTCTGTAGAAAATATATTGTATGAATGAGAAATTAAATGGTAAGAAAAATTGAAGTAGAGAAAAGTCTTTGAAATTTCTTTTTAATTTGAAATAGAAATAGGATGAATTAGTATTTATTGTCAATAGTATTGTCATGAGGGAATGAAACTTGCTGGTCAAAAACCTAACTTTGACCAATCATGGCTGTACATTTTAACTGAAAAAACCAATGTTTCTTTCCATTGTTCAAAGTTGAGGACAGGCTAGAATACACATACATACAAAAAAGACAACATTAAAAAACACCATACCACAATAGCTAATGTAGCCCAGTTGGCAAAATCTCTTATGCCTTCAATTTTTTTTTTTTAATCTATCTAGTGCGAAATTTTTCCTAAATTTGGTAATGTTGAGTTGTAATGTTGTTGTAAGCCGTGAAATTCAATCATTTTGAACTTTTTTTCGGTTTCCAGCTTTTCTTAATGTATACTATTTAATCCCATGGCTAAAACTGAAAATCTAAATTTAAGAGTTTCAAATTTGAGTTCTATTTATATATCGAGTTTGAATTATATTTATAATATTTGTCTTGATAGATTTTAAAATAAAATTTATAATCTACTGAAGAAATATTTAAAAGTCGGTGACAATTATGAAAAAAAAAAATAATAATAATGAGAAATGGTGATATCGGGTGTAGTGTATAATTTCTCTTGCTTTGTCCTTTTGGCTTCCTTTGTATCTTGCAATTGCACAAAATATACCCAGTTGTATTTTATCCTTGTAAAGACTCTTGCATGTCTGCAGATCTGTACATTTGATCAGTATTCAGACAAAGCTAGAGAATTAAAGTGGACTGGTTTAATTATATCTCTGACATTCGAAAACCCCAACTTGTTTAATAAACTTAATTTTCAATCTGCAATTCAATGTTTTTGTTCTCTACACTGTCAAATGAGACATTCAATTAATTATTTACTCTCTTATCTTTCTTCAATTTCTCGAAAAAATTTATATTTTAATTTACTTCTAAGATTTGGATAATTAATTTTTTGAAATAAATAAATATTAAACGAAATACCAACACTTAGAAGGATAAGATGGACCCACAAACCGATCACATTTCAAAAGTTATTTGATTCCAAAGTGATGTTTGATTGGGGGTGAGTAGACTAGGAAGTACAATTTTCCTGTTTTTATTTGGTTTACATTATAAACGCCGCTCGAAAATAGATCATTCAATTTTCATTATATAAGGGAATCAAGTTCTTTAGATATGGGAGGTTCCCTAATTAAGTACAATGAATTTGCCAATTTATCTTATTATCTAAATTTATTCAAATTTATATTATAGATATTATTGTAATTTATAGATTGAAGGCAATTTACTTTTCAGAAAGTTGATTTGCATACCAAATACATACAAATTATACTTTTTGAAAGTTTATTTCTCGGAAAGTATACTTTTCGGAACTAAGCCATTTTGAAGCAGATGAAGCGTAAGATTTAGATAATTAATTATTTGAAATAAATATATATTTAGCAAAATAATTAACAAGTAGATACTTAAGGCTACGATTAGCTTTGTCCAACTCTAGTACTAGTGCAAGGTTAGCTAACATTAGCAACACTTACATTTTTATGCATGTGAAGTTGGAAGAGGAATTTGAGGACATGGAAATGGGACCCACAACAGCAATGCATGGAGGATCCATTCAATTACATAATCGCCCCTAGACATAATGGTAATGATGATGATGTTGGTTAAATTCAGAGATTAATTAAAATAATGGAAATTAAGAAAGAAACAAATTCTAATTAATGTTTGGTAATTTAGGAAGGAAAGATTGTAGCTTTAGGTTGAGTGATTTTGTATCTACGAATTGCTGAAAGCTGTGGGCTTTTCAGTTGTTAGTGGAAATGATATGCTTATAGAGAAAGCTACATAGCAAGGAATGGGAATTGAAACCAAAAGTCTCAACTGAATTTTATGGAGCAGACAAAAGCAAGCAACTAACAAGCAAAGAATCTTTGGTATAATTTTATCTTGCCTCCCTTTTTTTTTTAATAATCACGTGCCTCTCTCTTCTTTGTACGTACAGATTAAGCCTACATTGCATCTTAGGTTAAGATTATGTTCGGCAAGAGCTTTTTTAAATAGCTTTTTAAAATGTTGAATGCTACTTTTCATAGTGTTTGAACTAATTTTTAAAAGTTAAAGTAACGATTTGTAAAACATTAACTCATTTAATGTTTAGTTTTTAGCATTTCATAAAAAACTATTCAAAACAACTAAATGCTCTTAAAACAACTAACAGCTAATAAAATAATTAATTTTGCCAAACAGACTCTAATTAGATTCTCTTTATCTTCCGAATTAACCTTTTCTATTATATCAATTAAAATAGACTGCATCCTTAGACGAACTTGACCTAAAAGTTAAGGTGTTCGAAATTTAGAGTCCGCTATTATCAGGAGGGTCTTTACTTAAACATCACTTTTATCCTGTGGATAGCAACATGTATGCTAACTAGAAAAAAAGGGAAAAAAAAGAAAAAAAGGAGGAGAAAAATTATCTTCTGATTAATATGATGATAATGAATATTAGTGGGATATAATGACGGCTAACCGAAGCTTGATTAACAAATAGTTTTGTTGTTTTTGGTAGATTAAAAAAAGACCCAGAAACTAATTATTAGATACATCATTGTCCATAGGTTGTTACTTGATAATCTTAAGTTCTGTTTATTGCTATTTTTTTTTTGGGTCCATATTAAAATTACTTGTTTTTAAATTCTATGATATAGGAAAAGTAAGCTTGCATAATAGACATTTAGGTGGGGGCATATAGCTTTTTTTTTTCCTCTATATGTTTTTGGTTCTTGCATGATAAATTAAGCAAAGGAGTGGAGATGAAGTGAAAAATGTAAAGAGACAAAGCAAGGTCTCAATGGGCCACGAAGGAGCCCAACACATCAAGAAGAACAGAAGTTGACTTGGACCCAAAATGCTTAAAATATAAGCCTTTAGGGACTCAGAACTCAGATACATATGGTTAAAGAAAAAAAAATCTCTACCGTCCATCTCAATTATCAAAAGTTATAATTCTACATTTAAATATTAACACAAAACAATACTAAAAAGAGATATTTTTTTTTTTTTTTTACTATCGGTCTAGTGGGATGAGGTGTTGAATCCTTTAAGTAACATCTATGGTCCATTCTGGTATTGTAAATGGGAAAATTGAGTTAGGGGGATTACCTCTTGCAATTATAATGGCCTCTATAGAATCCGGATTAATAGACTGCACCGAAAGGTTTTTTTTTTTAAAAAAAAAGAGTGAGTAGTTTTTTCAAAAGGCAATTGCTCTTATTTTATTGTATGAAGGACTCCATATACCTTACGAGAGAAGTGAATCCATATACCAAAAATCGGTGCTAATTCTGAGAATAAGTTTAATAGACTCGGTGTAACACAAACCTCATCACATCTTCGCTAAAACGACAACGACATGAGATTAAATTAAAATCATAATCCTTGGTTCATTTTGTCATTCACATAAGAAAATTTTATCCATCACTGGGATCAAAATGAGCAAAATGCGTCTGGTAAACTCGATAATTCAAAGTTATTTTTCGTGTATCCACCACCAGAATTATTTTCTGCTCTTCTAGCTAGAAAGCCCTAATGACGAAACCAAAGTACAATCTATCAGAATATTTTTACATTGTTAACTTAAAAGAGGCTTCTTCGGGTCGTACTCACTTTCCATGCCCATTTCATCCAGGTAACCTTCTTTTCCCTTTGCCCATAACACAAAGTATAGACCAGTAAACATCAGGAGCATACCAGCAAGGCTGCAAATTAATGTTGAATAATCTCAAATCAAACTTTATTTTTGAAAAAATAAAACCCAAATGAATGATTGATCGATCATAAATACCCACCTTCCTAATCTAATGGTTTCACCTAAGGTAATTAAAGAGAGAACAACAGAAATGACCGTTCCAATAGGGCTAAACATGGAGACTAGAACAGGACCTCTCTTCTTCATTGCCCATCCATTGAAGCTTACAGAAGCTCCTGTCACTGCACCTGACTGTATAAAATTAAACAAAATTACTATTCCAAAGGATAAAATTAAGAGTTTTCATTATTTTATAAGGTAAATTTTCTAAAAATTTTGTATTAGATGCCACCCTGACATCCCCCCCTCTGTCAATGATCATTATAAAAAGAATGGATTTGTATATCAGGAAAATGGCGACACATGCATAATTATAATAATTAATTACCAGAAAAGAAAAGCCAATGAGGTTCGTGAGGGGCATAAGAGGTAAAGCGATTCCAAAATTGGGATCTTGAAACCACTGAATAACTGCTGTTATAATTACACCAATTATGGATGTTATAGCACAAAGGGACATTGGTGCAGGAAAATTCCCCAGAGTATAAGCCTGAAAAAGAAAGGTCATAGCAATTTCATTAACAATTAAAAACAATTAAATCCCTTAACAATTATGTAATAAGAAGATTTACCTGCAAAACGACATTGCTGGATAGAACAAAAACAGCTGCCATGAGGTACAAGCAACCGATAATCTTTTCCTTGTCAAATATTACGTTAGGTGGGGGAATTAACAATTGGGTATCTTTTGTTTGTTTAGAACTGTGCATTACACTCATTAAAAGGGCACCTACGACACAAACCAATGTGCCTGAGATCTTCACTTTGCTGTATATACAGTTTAGCTTAACTTTCTCTAACCTGCATGACCATTTTGAACCATAGACGTACAAATTAAAACCATGTAGGTCTGCCTCTAACAGGACCTGAGAGGTTCAAAACTGAATCCTGACAGTCTCATTTTCTTTAAAAAATGGATTTATATATTATACCTAGCCACCCATGCAATGAGGAAGATAAGTCCTGGAGCAAGGTTTGGCATGGCGGTTGCCAGTGCTGGTGATGTTAGTTTAATCCCCTTCATAAATAACGTTTGAAATAATGTAACCCTGAAAAATAAAAATAGTGCATCAAATTTATAATTAATGAATAATGAATAATGAATAATTAATGATATCACAGAATAAATAAATTGACAAATAGATTTATGTTTCATAGTCATTCCCAGAATTTAAAATTAACAAAGAAAAATCATATTAAAACAAAAGAATTCTTCTGAAAGAAATGGAGTTCTAAACGTAATCGTTAAATCCCTTTATTACCCTTGAAAAAAGAACGTAAATGCATAATCTTGGGAATGAAAGAATTTTTGTTTTTTTTTCCTTTTCAAACACAAAATACGAAACTAAAACATGAAAAGAAAAAATACCCAGCAAAAGAAATCAAAACGAGCTGGATCATCAACTTGTAACTGAGTTCTTTAGGCCATTTCTTCCTGCAAATAAAAAATATATATATACGTCAATTATCAACTTCCCACATAATATAATGCTCCCAAATAACAAAATTAATTAATTAAGAAGGAAAAAGACCTTTCGAAATAAACAGCAAAAGGAGAGGTAAAAAGGAAGGTGGCAAAAGTAGTGAAAATAACAATAGTACTAGGTGTAAATCCAAGAGACATTAAATAACTCAAGAAAATAGAATTTCCTGCATAAACAAATTGAACTCCTATCAATCCTCCTACAATTGCTAAATCCTCAAGGAGCTCCTTTTTCATGTACCAAACCATTTTGAATCTCCAATTTACAGAAGAAAAATCTCAAACAATGGAAATTCTTGCCAAATGCAAATCTTTTAACTCTCCAAGAAAATGACAGTATTAAATTTCTCTTTCAAAAGATATAAACAAAACAATAACACCATGAGTTCCTTCCCCTCCAATGAAATACAAAAAGAAACAACTTATTCATTGATGAACCCACATCAGATTAATTCCTCTCACTAGAAACGAAAAGTAAAAGGAAGAAAAAGAAAAGGTTGTAGTCTTTTGTGTTTCAGGTTTTAGGTTAATTTTCTGAGAGAAGGAAAATGTGTGTTTGTTTGTTCGTTTGTGTTTATTTTGTTTTGACACAGAGCTACCCTTCAAGTTCATGAGGCTTCTCTACCAGTCTTTCTCTCCTGTTTCTTCGCTCTTAAAAGAACATTTGTTGTGCTTTTTTAAGCTAATTTTTTTATTGTTGTACTTGAAACGACGGTTCCTTCTCACCTACCACCTATCACTAGATTTTCTCTTAATTAATATTTAATTTAATTACTTATTTTCAATTTTTTTTTTAATTTTGCTAATTGTTTGAAGTATTTCCAGCCCATTTTTTATTTATTTTCTATGTTATATATACATGTCACATCAATTTAGTTTTTAACATATTAACACTATTTTTCTGAGATAAAAAAATATAATTATTAGTAAAAAAAAAAGCCAAAAAAATTTTTTATTTTTTTTTAAATGAAAAAAAAAAATTTAATTTAAGAACTCTTATTGTAATATTACTATTCGTGCTGCCATGCGTTGTGTTGTGTGAATCGCAAAGTTTTTTGTTATTTATAATAAAAATACAAAATAATATTTTATAAATGCCACGCATGCAGTTATATTTGGAGAGTGGCATTAGTTTACGTGGTAGAAGTGACACGTATACACACAGATCCTGCCTCGTGGAGAGGTCAATGCGGACATGTAATGCTTTCTAACGTGTCTTTGTAAGAAAACAAAGCTTCCATCGTATGCTCCTTTTCAACCTCCGTTCCAACTTGCCGTTTCGGCTGATTTAAATGCTTTAGAATTTAGTAGTTGTTGTATTATTGTCTTTATTTAAATAAAGAAATTTAATTACTTTATCACCTAGGGGAAAAAAACAGACAAACATTGTATAATTACTTTTGATATTTTAATTTATATTATTAAATTTTGATCGGATCGAATGGATAAGTTTTTACATAATAAACTTATTATTGATAATAAAAAAATACTTGTGATTTATATGTTTAAAAATTATATTTATTGAAAACTAAGTTATTTTTATTATTTAGTACACCATATTTTTATAATATAATCACCGGTATCCAAAAGTCCACGACACTTAGCATGAATTCAACTTTTAAAAATATTGTACAAATATAGTATTTAAAAATATTATACAAATGTAGTATTTATTTGTATTTAATGTATAGTTATGTACGTTGGTAACACTTCCCAAATATTAATTATACTAATTATATATATGAGCTTATTTGTCATTTTAAAAATTAAGAAAGCATTAATTATTTTTTCTTTTGAACTTTGTGATTGTCTTGTTGTCTTTTGATAGCTCAATTAATTATTTAGAGAATTAATAAAAAGATAATTTAGTCAATTAATTTTTAAATTAAAATTATTTATTGCAATTATTTTAAGCCGTAGTGGGGCATAGTATATAGGTTAATCCTTGATTTTTTGAATTCTTTAATGGTAATATCTTTGATTTTGGTTGGTACGTAAAGGCGTGGCCAAAATTTGGTTTTCGGAACTAGAATCATTGGTTTCGAACAAGTGGGAGCCGGAACCGAACTGGTTCGAATAAGAACCGGAATCGATCTAAACGGTTCGATTCTGATTCCACCAGTTTTGGAACCATGAATCGGCGGTTCCAGCTCCAGTTGGAACCGAAAGTTTTAATTCCATCTGAACCGGCAGGAATCGTTCAAAACCGGCCAAAATTGGTCCAAAACCGGCTGGAATTATCCAAAAACTGGTCGGAATCGTTGATTTTAGAACTATTAAGGAATCAGAACCGTTCGGTTTCAAACCGTAACCGAAACAATTAATTTTCGGTTCGGTTCCGGTTCCAAATTTTTTGGAACCGGAACCGTGGCCACCCGACTATGACCCAGTCCCACAGTTAGCTTGGGAGTTGGCTTAGAATTTTCAAATTCAAGCTTTTAAACTTCAGGTCTTTAGATTTCGCAGGACTACGCGAATGTCGCTTTTGAAGGGATTGAAGAATTTCAGCAAATGCAAAATCATCCACATGAGCTACTGTCGAGCAATATTAGCACGAACATATCTACACTCTACAACAACCATATCTATATTTTTCCCTGGACCATGCGAAGATCGCTTTTGAAAGGAATTGAAGCATTCCGTGGAAAGCAAAAATATCCGTATAAGCTATTGTCAAACACTATTAGCACCAACATTTCTACACTCAAAAGCAACCATGTCAACGAAATCTCTCAAAATAATGAATCCTGGTCTGCTCTCATATCAACTCTTGTCCAAGATGGACCCGCTAAGGAGCTGGCATTGTTCAAGGCCTCTAAAATGCTCGCGTCTGCAACCAAACCTAATGGCTATGCTCTGATTCATCTGGTTCGAGCTTCTACTGACCTGGGTTTGAACCTTTATTGCCAACAGCTCCACAGCTACATTTTTAAATCTGGGTTTGGCGCCAATGTCTTTGTGTCCACTGCTTTGTTGAGATTCTATAAAACGACAGGGGCAATAAATGCTTGCCACCAAGTCTTTGTCGAAATGCCTCAACCAAATGTAGTTGCTTGGAATACCTTGGTTTCTGCCTACGTACAGTCTGGGCAGTTTAGGAAAGCTTTGGATCTATTTCTTCAACTTGAAAGATCTGATAATTGTCCAGATGCCTATTCCTTCACGGTAGCTTTATCTGCTTCTGGACAGCTAAGTATGTTTCAGCTTGGCAGGTCAATTCATTGCGAGATTGTGAAATATGGGTTGGAGTCTGACATTATTGTTGGGAATTGCTTGATTGATATGTATGGGAAATGTGCTTCTGTTGAAGAGGCAATTTGGGTTTTTGACGAAATGATTGATAAGGATGTAATTTCTTGGAATTCAGTTGTAGCAGCAAGTGCTAGAAACCAAAGACTTGAAATGGCATATAATTTTTTCTATCAAATGCCTGAGCCGGACACCGTCTCGTATAATGAAATGATTAATGGCATTGCTCAGTTTGGCAATATAGAGAATGCTATTAAAATTTTACTGAACATGCCAAACCCTAATTCATCTTCTTGGAATTCAATCATAACAGCATATGTTAACAGAAATCGCGCAAGAGAAGCGTTGGACTTTTTGGCAAAAATGCATTCAAGTGATATTAAAATGGACGAGTATACTTATTCAGTTATTTTGAGTGGTATTGCTGGTCTTGCAGCTCTGAAATGGGGAATGGTGATCCATTGTTGTACAACCAAAGTTGGTTTGGATTCTTCTGTAGTTGTGGGGAGCGCTCTTATTGACATGTACTCCAAATGTGGGCAAGTGAAGAATGCTGAATCAATCTTTCAGTTCTTGCCTAAAAGGAATATGGTAACCTGGAATGCAATAATGTCGGGCTACACTCACAATGGTGATTCACGCAAAGTGATTGAGCATTTTAAGGAAGTGAAAATGATTGAGGATTTGAAACCCGATTGGGTTACCTTCCTTAACATACTCACTGCGTGCTCAAACACCGAGGTGCCCTTGCAGAGGGCAATTGAGTACTTTGAATCAATGATCAACGATTACGGTATTGAACCAACGATTGAGTGAAACCCGATTGGGTTACCTTCCTTAACATACTCACTGCGTGCTCAAACACCGAGGTGCCCTTGCAGAGGGCAATTGAGTACTTTGAATCAATGATCAACGATTACGGTATTGAACCAACGATTGAGCATTGTTGTTCAATGGTTCGGCTTATGGGAGAAAGAGGTGAGGTGTGGCAGGCAAAAAGGATGATATACGAACTAGCTTTTGGGTCATGTGGTGTAGTTTGGAGGGCTTTACTTGGTGCTTGCGGAGCGTGTAGGGATTTGAAGGTTGCAAATATTGCAGCGGCAAAGGTGATTCAATTGGAGGGCGATGATGATTATGTTTATATTATGATGTCTAACATATATGCATCCTATGCAAAATGGAGAGATGTGAGCAAAGTGAGAAAGATATTGAAAGAGAGAGGAGTGAGAAAAGAAGTTGGTTGTAGTTGGATTGAGGTTGAAGTTGATAGAGCTTCCCTACACTCGTCACATATGTAGCGATGATCTAGCTTAGAAACATACTTCGAAATGGGATAAAGATGAAGAGTTCCAAATTTTAAGATTGGGGAAATACCATTATATTGTCTTAAACGCCAAATAGTTGTAATAAACGACGCATTACTTCAAAAAGTTGTTCATAATCCCCCTATTAAGACAAATTTGTTTAGAAAACAATATCTCATCTCCTGGTACTATTGTTACAGACTGCGCCTTTAGTTTTTGCTCTTATCTCTTCTCAGCAGGATTGGTCTCAGATGGGATCAATTATCTTGGATTGTAAAACTATTTTAGATTGTACACCTAACGTGACCGCTAGATGGATTTAGAGACAAGCTAACGTAAGGGCACATAACCTAGCTAGAGCTGCCTACTTGTATACTCGCTCCAAATGTTGGGACAATATTCCCAATGTATTATTACCCTTTTATGGGTTAGAGTAATGCAAATATTGAGGTATTCTCTTCAACAAAAAAAAAAAAGAAAAAAAAGAAAAAAAAAAAGAAAAAAAAAGATTTTGTCAAAAAAAAGAAAAAAAGAAGATTATTTGTTGATATCTCTAATCTGCTAACGGTTTTAAAAAAAAAAAAAGAAAAAAAAGAAAAAAAAAAAGAAAAAAAAAGATTTTGTCATCGATCTCTATCTGCTAACGTTTATGTAATGGAAGGAATTGGTCAAGAAAAGAACAACTAGCAAGTTAGGGAAAGATACTAGAAAATAATATTTAAAGCATTTATCCAATCGAGCATACACTGATGGTGTTAAACAATAGCATTTAATGCTACATCTCAGAAGAAAATTATCCTGTGTGTTATGGAGAATCAAAATCAGCTCTACTGCTTTGAAGGTTCAGCAGCATTTTATAGATTGACAAAAACTCTTCAAAAAATGAAAAGCTACTAGGCTTTGCTTCTCCATTCATGTGAAGATGTTCTCCCATATCATATTGATTCTTTCCAAACAAGTCACCTTGGAACTGACAGGCCAAGCTCTGAAGAAATAAATAATGCAAATACTGGAATCAGAAAACAAACAAGTGCAAAATGAAGCATATAAATGTAGAATAAGACATGAATAACAGCATTCCGGTATAAATTTAAAACGCAGCAATTTTGTTCAGTAATGTCAACAAATGTGGTCATTCTGAGAATACAATTTTAATATATCAATCAGTGGTTTGCAATTTCTGCAATAATTACACAATTGGGTTCCAAAAGATTGCATCAAGTTCTAAAAGGCATATTTATTGCGTCTCAAGTAGTTTCCACATTGTTTCAAGCCTTAAGACTTTAGATGATGACAGGACCCACCTCCAAAAACAGCACACATGTTTCACGTACCATCAACTCCATCTGGGAACAGGAGCAGTTATGTTACCATACTATTCTCAATTACTAATATATAATTAGTTGTAAAGTTCAATTCATAATATTCGCATTTTAAGAAAAAAAGATACATGGTTACTCCTGAGAATCGTTCTCTCTCATTTTATTTCTTTTTCATGCTTCAGAGTGTAGGTGAGATACAATCATTTTAACATGCAACATGCCAGATATCAACAAGTTACCAACCAAAATTAGTCGCAAGGACAATAGATTAGAATAAATTTTGACCATACAAGTTTCCCCAAGCAAAAAATGAATTTAATCAAACAAGATCTCTCACACATCTATAATCTCCTTGAATATAATGACTTATTTCATATATCATTTTTTAAATGTTTTTGGCAATCTAATGGTTCAAAGAACATGCTCTCTCACTCAAACTCAACAGCTAATCCATTATCTTCTTCAAGAAATTCAAAAAAAGAAGATAAACGACGAACAATAGTTAATCCTTAGAGCTTAGAAATTTAAGCTGGGCTAAAATGTATTAAGTATCAGGATAATTGGCAGAAAGTCTCATATGTTAGCATGCTATGTAAACTTCATATAGACGGATGAATGCAATAGACTTCAGGAAGTAGATAGACAGTAGGATGAATATTAAAACAGTAAAATAAATAATTTTTTTGAAGGGCAATAAAGAATTTCTCAAAACAAATCACATAATAAACTGATCAATATAAAAACGTTTACACACAGAAATGTATGGCACACAAAAAACAAAAGTTTCCATCCTAAAATAACCAGACATTTTTAATATCACTAAGGAAGCAATTATAGTTTCATACTTGATAAAGATGCAGTTGGCCATAATTGACGGGTCCTGAATTTATTTCTTTCAAATTATGTGCCTGCAGGAACCAAATATTCCAGTCAGATGGTATTAAACTCTATTAAAGCACTCTCCTCGCAGTTAAGCTCCCCAATTTGTTTTAACTACAGGAATGTGAGTGCAGCTCACTCAGCGCTCAATATCGTTCTAACAGTTGAGTGCTAATTTCTGACCCATATCGCAGAACCAAGTACACTACTCATATAACTCTTAAATTTTGACTCTAAACTAAAGTCTTAGATTCCAAAAGCAAGATCACAGCAATTCTATCTCCAGACTAGGCTCATTAACATTATATTAATCATAACCTTGAAAAATCCACTTTCGGATTTGAATTCTTACACAACCAGTAATCCAAAAAGAAAAATAAAAAAGAAATTGAATTGAATCTAAGTGAATTCGCAAAAGTGAACATGTTTAAACAAGAAAATCAGAAAATCAATCACTAATTATCAGTAAAATTTGCGCATTGGAATAAAAAAGCACGCGAATCAAACACTAATATTAGCATTTCAGGAGAAGCAAGGGGGAAAAAAAAAAAAAGCAAGCTACTCACACTCTAAAACATAGTAATAAAAGCTATTAGAGGCCGGGAGAGGTGCAGCAGAGTGTACCCTGTGAGAGCGCTCGGCAACTCCTCGATGTCGTACTCAAGCATGAAGTCATCCTCGCCACCGCCACGACACTGTGTAGCGGCAGCAACGACTGCACGCATCCTAGCTCAGACGGAGACCTTCAAAAATAAATAATTACTAAGCACATGTACGCCTACACGAATAAAAATACAAAGACGAATAAGTAAGTATAATCGTGCACCTGGATGAGAAGGAAAAGCGGCGAGGAAGGGAAGAGGAAGGTAAACGAGGAGAGGCCGAGAGAGAGGGAGAAGTGGGAGATCTAGTAATCGGAGATTTTGGAGCGTTAGATCTGATAGCGGATTTAATGGACGATAGAGATGATCTGCTGATGAATCGGTGACAAGAGGAGGCCATGCTAGAAGCTGCAGAGAGAGATAGAGAGGAAGGAAATCTGGGAAAGGGTTCTGAGGATTGAGGGTTTATTCGAGGTTTAGCTGCGGAGCTAAAAATCACCAGATCACGCTTCAAAGTCCAAAGAGAAGAGTAAGAGTCAAACAGAGGGCAGTTTGGTTGAGTTGGGCTTAGATGGGCTTGGGTTCGGCTCTAACCAAATAGTTGGGTTGTGGTGGATCAGTTTTATACTTACTTGGGCTCTTAATATAATGGGCTATAATCCTATCGGGAAGCCCGTAAAAAAAATTTTGTTTGTAGACATTTTAATTTCGAATATTTGACCCATTCATGTGAAAATATAATCCCTTTTCGCCAATCCACTTATTTGTTTAGATTTTATTGATAGATCAAAATATATGTAATTTTTTTTTACCTTTTTTTAAATTTTAAAAGATCAATTTATGGCATAGTTGGGTTGTAATTAATTATGAACTAAGGAGGCTTTAAAAATTTTATAAAAAATATTCTTTTTGAATAAAAGAGTTAGACAGTTATGACACATACGACAAGTTTTCCATCCCTATTTTCGAAACTTTCTTTCTGTTATTTCTATGAAGATTGGATTTGCACTAGTGTCTTGGTTATAAAGCAATACCTTGTTTAGGCGTATACGTTGGGAAGATGGCGCTAATGACTAAACGGGTTGCCATTTAACCGTTAGTAGAGAATGATTGCTTTTGTTAACAAAGCCAAAGCGGAAAAGAACAAAATCAGAAAATGGAGAGGAAAAAAAATATAATTAAGTTTAGATTTCGTATTAATTTTCTCCATTAGAATTAAGTGTTAGGATCCAACTAATATTTTCCGTATATTAATGAAATTTTTCATTTTACTAAACAATGAAATATTATTTTCAATATTATTTCATATATTTATAACTATAATCTTTTCACATTTTAAGTCTCTAAATTAAAAAAACAATTTTACTTTGAATCCAAAATACTTATATTTTAGAGAAAATTTTGAAGTTTCAATATAATCATGTATTTGTGATGGCATCTAAATGCCTCTCTAGTCTCTTCCAAATAAGCCCACTTCACATAATTTTTTGCTAATAACGTGTGGTCTAATTGATTTTTCTACATTTTATAAAAAATGTATATCTTGTAAAAAAAACATGAAAAGCTATTCAAGGTAAGACTACATCGATTGGTGTTATCTATTAGCTAATTATTGCTATCCAGAAGTTGTTGAAAGGTGATCAGATTTGTGATATAAATCATGTTTACAGGGAGGCCAATTTTTTGTGCTGATTTTTCTTTTGAAGATTGTTGGCTCCTACCCTATGGGTACACACATCTTAGAGTCGGCTCCATTTGTTTCCGTAAATTAACTTATAGGAAAATATTTTTCACAATTTTTCGTTATTTGGAACGTTCAGAAAAATAAGTCAATGGAAAATATTTTCCTAGTTAAAGAAAAATTAAGTCAGTTTTTAAAGAAAACAACTTTTCAATTTTGAGAGAGTAAAATATTTTCTGGATATTGGCAAATCTTATAAATTCATATTTTTTAATTTATTAATCATTATAGTCTTTACCACCGACCACTACCACTGGTCACCGGCGACTTTCATATTTTACATTTTTTTTTTTACATTCTTTTTATATTTAAGAATAAAATTTTTAAATTATAAAATTTTTATTATTGTTAATATTTTTTATGCTCTTATGAGATAAAGACTTTGGTATTTTTAACTAATTTTTAATATTACAACCAAACAACGGAAAATAAATCATTTGAAAAATATTTTCTATTTCATGAAAATATTTTTCAGCAAGTTATTTTACGAAAACAAACGGAGCTTGAGTCATGATTCTATTTGTTTTTCCTATTATAAACTGTATTTGTCTTCCTAGAGCTTCTTAGCTCTTTTTTCTTATAAAAATTAAGGAAAGGTCAATCCCATATATAACCCATAATGTTATTTTGACTCATTGGGCCTTCCAAATATATATATAAAAAATTGTCTCTCTTCCTAAATCTATACTATCATTAAATCAAAATCCATTGATTGATATCAATTAATCTAGTTATCCATATTTAAACAAGAAAACATAAAGTTATCATCATATAATAATTCTTGAAGTAATAAAAATAAAAGATCTTAATAACCAAAGAATTCCTTTTCTTTTCCTTTTAAGTGTGAAGTATATAGTGTCAACAATTTGCTACACCTAAACATAAAAAAATGACCCAATTGAAAAACAAAAGTGTGATCATGTACACAAAAACAGTACCAAAGCAGCCACCACCAATGAAATGGTCCACCTTGATGTTCTACTTTTCGTACCAACCCCTTTATTAGAAGAATTTTCAGATTCCAACAAAGAACTAAACTTGAAATTAGGGTTTGACCCATAAAGAGCTTGAACACCTTCCACGTCATCAATTTTAAGGTCCAGTTTCTTAGTCCTTGGACTTAAACTTGGATACATCACAGCTTCCTTGATTGACGAATGACCCAATCCAAGTATATGTCCAATTTCATGGGTAGCCACTGACTCCAAATCAATGGCTGCCTTTGACTTAACCTTCTCAAAATCAACGGTCCACGTTTCTGCTGCATCGAGATGAAACCTCCCATTCTCTGGGGAAAAAGCATGCGCTAAAACTCCTAAAACTCCATCAAACGGCTCTCCGTCGCCGTGATCACCGCGATACCACCCGATTTTAATATCTGGCGATTCGTTATCTTCCACTTCTCTGAAGCTTACCGGAATAACTGATGCCCATCTTGAAAAAGCTCGTTTAAAAACTCTCTTTATCTCGTCTATACTTATATAATCAATCATGTTATCCGGTGAAAATGAATATGTTAGTATCATCGGCGTCTGCCTTACCCATCTGGGCTTCCCATAAAAATACGCGAAATTTCGGGTTACATGGAAAATACCGGTTTTCTTATGTGCTGTATCGCCAACTCCGCATCTCGGCGATATGATTGTTGATATCGTATCGGAATCAAGTTTACCTGTTACCGGTAAACCAAGATTGGTTTGATAAGCTATAACTGCCGATTCCAACTGGGCATCAAAGATATCGGTAAAATTATTGGTACTGGGAACCGGGAGATACCCGAAATGGTTGAAGTATTTCTTGAGCTCTGACATGCCATTCACTTGACTGCCCTTACCGGCGTCTAGGAAGCGAGTAAAATCATGCCACGTGAAATTATGAATATCGGTGGAGTTTCGGGTATCGGTGGTTATTACAGTTACAGAGTCCGGTATGAGTCTGGCGGGAAAAGAACGGCTTGAAAGACAAAGGAAGAAGACGGAGAGAAAACTGAAATAACTGAAAGTCTGAAACAGAATTGTGGATATAGCCATGTTGGGATTTGAGCCCAAGATTTTATTAGGGAGGAATATGTGTATATATATATATATATTGGATTCAGAAAATAAGATATGATAATTAAAATGAAATAGGAATTGAAAACTTAGACTAATTAATGTAGATAGGATCAATGTGCAAGAAAATGAAGAGAAAGTTAGGAAGATTCTGCCGTGCGTGCCTTTTCAATAGAGATTCTGACTTTTGATGGGTTATGGTGGGTAACCCAATTTCTTTGGTGCTGATTAATTATTAATTTAGTTTAACTGCATATCACTAATCAGTTCTTCAAAACACTGAAACTTAATGTAATAACTGTTGGAATATACATATATATGTATGCATTTTCACATTCCAACATGAGTAGTATTCAAGTAAAATTTTTCTAATAATGACAATTTCAAATTTCGATCACTGATTTTCTATATAAAGTTCATCGGAAAATACAATCTAGTCATATAATTACTGTTGAAATTTTATTAATATGTATTTTTTTTTTCTCTTCTTCTTCTTTACCTATATAATTAAAGAAATGAGATATTTGTGTTATAAGAAAATAATAATTAGAGTTGTGTGAGTTTAGCCGAAGTTGCTCTGTTTGTTGACCAAATTAGGTAATGGTAATGTTTTAGAGAGGAAGGTTTGTTTTTGTGCCTAACTTGTGTTAACTTCTTGATCTACATATGACCCACATACATACTACGCATGAATCATGTTTTATTTCAATTTAGTCAAGCTTTGAACTTAAATAAAACCATAACAAAATGTACTCATCAAAATTCACTTTCTTTTTGTTGACTTATTAATTATTATTATTATTATTATTATTTTCAATTATGATTCCTTGTCTACTTCTAATTAATTAATTAACTTAAATGGATTGTTTATAATCTTATTTGGTTGACATGATCCATATCATGCTTTAACCACTATGAGGAATCTAAATTCCTCATAACATCATAAACCAATTTTCACATGCATATATACTCATGTAACAATTGTGGGATTTTCACAAAGGTTTTAACATGACTAATCATACTATTAGTTTCATTTTAATCACTGAAATTAAAAATGCATGATTTGAAATTTTAATAAATGGTTATTGGTAACAATAATTTGTTATAATTAGTTTAGTAATATGTACTCGTTTACATTCGATCACAAAAGTTCTCACTAATTTAGTACTTATGATTAAACCATATTCATATAGCCAAAAGGCAATACATTTATTTATTTATTTTGGTATTGGCTTCTGTTATTCATATTATTGTTGTCGACCTTAGCAATGAGTTCTCAACTTTGGAGATAATGGAGAGTTACATCAGTATCATGGAAGCATAATTAAATTAAATTTTATTAAAGAAATTAATTAATTAAGAAAGGGAAATGGGTGGCTTAATGATTTAAGTTTACATATATAATAGAGAGATTTAAGGTCCAAGTTTTGTTTGGTTTCGCTTTCAAGACGCAATGAAGTTATCTAAATGACGAAACTATAAAATATGACTATGTCCCTTTCTTTTCTTTTCGTACTTTTTATTGGTTTATTTGAAGGAATGCCGTCCATTATTAATTCCATCAGGGAATAGACGTCCATTTGTTTGCAGGCTTTATCAAAGATAGCTTACTTATTTTAAATATGTCACATTTATCCTCTTCCCATTCCGATTAAACAATAACCATACAACTCAAATCAAATAAAACATTTGTAATTGTTATGTATTCGTATTATTTACAGATACATATTATTTAAATAAAGATATAATAATAAATTTTATTAGTACGATAAAGTTACAATAAAAATTTCAACGGCGACTTATGATTAAAAAAAAAAAAAAATGAGACTTTTGACTTATTACATAAGATGGTAATTTGTGTGGCCTTATTGTTTAAAAAAATTATTATAAAAAGTGACTCTAGTATTAACACGTTTAAATTTATTAATTAACTTTTGCAAGGTTAATAAGAGCTCAATTGGTGAAAATGTACTTACGAACTCTGCTGCGATGATGTTCTCATAATTAGAAACGGTACAGAGACTAACTTTTTTTTTTTTTTTTTTTTTGATATCACAGGTATATCAGAGACGTAAAACTATTACTTTGTTTGTTTCTCTCTTTTATTGTCTTTTTTTTTGTATCTATATATAGTAGACTATTCAGATAATAATGAGTTGCAGATAAAACAAATTATTTGACTCATATTACCGTTGTCTTTAATTAGTTTTTAAATAGAATCTGAAACCGTTTCCAAAAGTTCTGCTCTTTTATGGAACGATAAAAGAGTTAGTTTCACCTAATGAAGAGTTTACACTTGCCAAAATAAGTAAAACGAATCAAACTCCGCAAGTACTCTATTAAACCAAGTATCATCTAAGTTTATCTCCGTATCAATTACACTTCACGTTGAAGATACTAACATATAAGAAAAAAAAGAAAAAAACAAATAAGAATAGAGTGTTTTTTTATTTACATAATTGAATAAAGAAAATACCAACACTATGTAACAGAATAAAACTTCTATATTTCCTTTTAAATTCTTCACTCTTTTAAAATAACTTCACAAACTAAAATATATTTTGAAGATAATAGGATAAAAACATGTATCGAGTTAAACAGTTAGAATCTATAGTATTTAGGAAAAAGTTCTATCCTTTTTTTTTTTTTTTTTTTTTTTTTCTATATATACTATTAGATATAGAGTTGCATCAGCTATTTGACTCATATCCGTTTTAATAGTTTATAAATCTGACCGTTTCCATTTGCTTTAGGAGATAAAAGAGTTAGTTTATAGAGAGTTTACATTGCAACGAATCAAACTCCGCAAGTACTCTTTACCACTAAGTTATCTCCGTTCGAATTCACAGAGACTAACTATTAAAAAAAAAAAAAAAGAAAGAGTTTTTTTTACTAATTGAATAAAAATAACCTAGTAACATATTCAATTTTAAATTCTCTCTTTTAATCCAAAGGAAAAAACATCTTCGTCTTATCATGAAAATTTATTTTTTTGTTATTTTATCATTAAAATATTAAGAATAGCCCTTCTAATGATTTACTAAATTAAAAAAATTGAACGAAAAAATTCAAACTCGAGATCTCTGTATAGTTAAAAGGATTATCTAATCGGAGCTTGTCTGTGCATTGTTAGCCTACTTCCAGTTATCGGGCTTTAAAAATTAGAGATTGGTGCAAGGAATCCACGTAGCTAATATTTGGCATCACGGGTTTGATAATATATCAACAGTTGGCAATCTTCTAATTCTGTCATAACTCATAACTAAATAAGCCTCAAACATACTTCATTTTCATATAGCTGAACTATCAAAACTACTTTGTTCATTTGCTCAAGAAAAGAAGACCAACTACTTTACCTGGAATTTAGTTTTACAAGTCACTTGAAATTTGTCATTTATTGAGTCGTCAAATGTTCATCATTAATATTAAATTTCAATTTTATTTTCCATTTAATAAACTGTAATATTATGTAATGAAATACACTTAGATTGCATTAGAATGTGTATGTGATTCAGTAAATGAAACTTTCTTTTTTTTAATGACTAAAAGTAAAAGTTTAAGAAAAAATTATTAATAATATACTATAAAATGGGCAATGGTATTGGGGTAAGGATTTTTAAAAAGTGATAATTGGGCTCCTCCTAGGCTGGGCTTTCTAATTGGCAACTCAAAGATCAAAACTTCTTCTCCAAATATTCTGTTTCCTACATTTCATTGTTTCTACTTTCTAATTGGTTCCCTTGCAAGGTTTACATTTTACAATTACAAGCAATTTCTTCTTCCCAAACAAGAATTCTTCAACTTCATCTTTGGATTGCTCTATTTCAAGAAAAACCCCATCTTTTTAATTGAATTAGTTATGTTTGATTTTATATAATTGAATTCATAAATTCAAATTTGCTATTTTTAAACATATCAACCATGAAAAAAATAAATTTCAAGTATAAAGCTTTGTAAAATTCATTGAGACATATAACCTTACAAATAGAATCTAAAATATGTTACACCAATAGCATCTTGATCAATCCAATTTACAAAGACCTGAAGAACAATTATATAAAATGTGAAAACCCAGAGGAAATGCGATTAGTTTTTTTGACTGCAAACAAAAAAAATACACTTTTCTTTTTTTAAAAAAAGTGTATATTTTTGTCACACGAAAGTTTGATTTTGGTTTCTAAAATTATCCAAAAGTGTATGGATTTGAAGAACACCAAACAAGCCCTTGGGCACTTGTGTTTCAGTCTCAGAAAGTGATTCCTCGCAGATTTTTTTTGAGGACCACAGTTCTCTGTCAATAATATAATACAGTAACTTATTGCTCTTGATTTTGGGGTCCTGTTGCTGAAATGTTAGTTGAAAGTTGAAACTTTTAAGTTTATTTTTCAGCGGCTTGGGCACTATAATGGGTATAAACAACCTAACTTCCTTTTTTCAGTTTCAGGCTCCTCTCTAATTTTATGGACATCATCCCTTATCTTTAAGTGTTTGTTTCTAATTATTAGTTGCATTTTATCTGTACACGTGAATAACCGGCAATGTTGGAATTCTTATCAAGGCTAGGGTCTGTAATTTTAAACAGAATCAAATCAATAAAATTAAAAATTTAAATATATAATTTAGATTAAATTATTCGCAAAATCAAATCAAATTAAATAGATTTGATTCGGTGTTTGAGCAAATTAATCTTATTTTCTATAGCCAAATTAAAAATTATAAATCGAATCATAGTTAATTCAAATAACCAAATTACGAAACAAACCGGTGCATGCTCACCTCTACGATAGACAATCTGTAAATTAAGAAATATATGTATATTTCATTCAATTATCCAAAAGAGCAGAAAAAAAAAAAATTTCAGGACTGCTTTCAAATTGCCCTATTTTTCTAGGTCTAACAAAAGAAAAAAGAATTTTAATATGTTTATTTTTAACTATGTATTATAATTTATCTTAAATTTTTTATTTTGATAATTTCATTTCTTTATTTATTGATATTTGAAAGGAAAATTTTAGTATTAGTGAGATTGAAACTTTGCCCAATAATTTTATAATATTTTCTTATTCGTTTTACTAGTAATTTTGTAATTTACCTTGAATTTTTAATTCTGATAACTTCATTTTTTTTAACATTGGGAAGGAGAGTTTTTATATTAGTGAAAAAAATTGGAACTCTGCCTGATAATTTTATAATATCACATCAAAACCTTACTATTAATATGAGCACTACACGTGGTCGGTTGATGCATGATTCAATAGCCATTTTTGTGATTCTTTGAATGAAAATGCAAACTTGCTTTTTCTGATCATAATATTTATGAGGTTGATACACAATAATGTACTACTGTGGAGGCGACTGAGAAGGTTGTCCTCCTCCAGCCAAGCCAAATAACAGCCATACATTATCTTCTCCAAGACTACCGAGAGACCTATAACTTTCAACCAACCAATAACTAGAATCTCATTAGAGGGCGAAGTTTTTGATTTTAGGAATAATAATGCACTTTATAGATAGTGATAGAACACACCTTACATTATTTATAATTATAATTAATCCACTAATCTATAAATTCAACAAATCTTGATAATGATATTTGAAACGAACAAAAGTATATGTATATGTGTCTTTTCATTGTGAAAAAAAAAAAAGTGATAAAAAAATTATAATAAATTATATAAATGTGTAGGGGTGTGCAAAACGTATGATCTAACCGAATAGAACTCTCAGCTAGATCAGCCTACTCAAAGGGGATTCAATTTTATCAAGTTAGTCGGTTTGAACTGAAATTATTAGTGGTTTAATTCGATATAAAATTAATTGGTTAGGCTTAAAACTGATTTGATATGATAAAAATTGATTAAAACTGGCTGAATATTTGTGTCTTTTGACTATTAAACTAGGCCTAATTCTATTCGTGTCCCGTCAAACTCACAAGAGAGAAGTATTCTCAGCACGAAATTGAGTTTTTTCCACTTAAATCAACTCCTGCCGACGAATGACTATCAACTATTGACATAATATATAAATGATACTTTTCATAAATAATAACCTTGGATTCAAAATTTGTAAAATTTTAAATTCAAATTTTTATCCACATTAATTGCATTCTCGAACTAAATATAAAGTCAAAGTTTAAAATCTAAAATCGCGATTATTCAGGGTTTTCTACTAAAATATTATTCACCACATCGCATCCTATTTTGCTTAGGTAGAAGATTTATATCTTGTGCAATTATAATGGTGAGTCCCACCTTTGAAATTATATTCCAGAAAATGCTATAAATCCTCTTCTTCTTCTACGGCATTTAATGGTTCTTTCATTCATAGCTTTAAATAAAAGACTGTTTCAAAATTTATGGATGAAGCGCAATCTCCCATGCACTTCCAATCTTCCATTAGATCTTTTCTATTTTCTTTAAGACAAAACGAGACAGTGTAGGGCTCAGTAATTTCAAGTCACTATCAAATGATAATACTTTAAATTATTTTAATAATATTCCACACATTTCCATCTTAACTTTAATTATTTTTTTCCATTAAATCAATAAGAGAAAGCAGGATTCAAATTTTCAAATCACTTTAATACATACCTAATTATGAGATTATTGATCAAATTATAATATTTAAGTATATCATCAAATGATAAGATTCAGATTTTCATTACCTTTTTTTTTTTTTAAATATAATAGAGGATATATCTGGATGTAAAAATAATATATAGCATAAACTTTCTTTATATTTTGAATTAAAATCTTTAATTAATATTTTTTTATCAACTACTAAGTTTGAATTAAGTAGTTTTCTTTTTTTTCTCAAAAAAAAAAAAAATTAAGTAGTTTTCTTTTTTAAAGTCTGAATTATATAACTGAAAATGGTAGACATTTTTTATTTTATTTATATAACGTATTGATATAAAGTTGTTGACTATTGGATAAGAAGATCAAAATAAATAAACCTATCCATACATAAATTATAAGTGCAATTCAAACTCAACCTAAATAGAAATTAAGCCTCAAATCTTTGAATTATAAGATTTTTTTTCTTAGGGGACTAATTTAGATTTTTCTAAGACTTCAGCTTAGTTATTACAGATATTAAGCTATATTTGGAAAATAAAAATAAAAAATAGTATAGACTAATGTATTTTTTTTATATTATTTGATTATATTTATATTTTATTATGACATATTAAATAAAGTTTCAAAAATTATAATTAAGAGCGGGGAAATAATTTAATATATTATTTTGGTATATAAAAAAATTCAACGGATAACTAATATTAAAATTTAAACTTTTAAAATGTTTATTTTGTGAGATAAATATATATGCACTTAATCATTTGGCTAAATTAATTATTTAGATAAATAGCTACAATATATTTTGTGATTATATATGGACCATTTATGTAATGATAAACTAATCAGAAATTAAGAGCAAACCCATTAACATCCAAAGCACTAATTATAATTAATTAATATTGATTATTTAATATACTAGATTGCATGTGGGATTATTTAGTTTCTAATTAAATTAATATAATATAAAAAATTGACTTACGATATTATTTTAAAATTAATAAGAGACAATTAAATCTGGATTAACTAATTTTGTCATAGCTTAGAAATGGTGAGCTTTGATTTGAAATAATCACATAAAATTATCTAATATATCAAATCAAAAGGAAGTAATTAATTAATTAATTAATTAGTGATAATTAGACAAAGATTTTAATGATAACACATCATTTTCTAATGTACGCTTTTCAAGGAATAACTTTCATAAGATAGCAATATCACCACACGTATATTTTCCTATCATAGGACGTAATCATCCACAAACGTTTTCAACATCAACGGGATCATGGTATGGAGGCAATTGTCAAAATTTAATCTTGTGATAAAAAATTGATTTGCTTACTTCACAATTCTCAATTGACATTCTTGTATATATTTTTTTAAATACAAGTTGGACTGAAGGTAATATTTAAATAAATTTCTGTCAACAACACAGACTTTAAGTTTTAATTATTTTAATTTTATAAATAAAATTTATAAAATGCGGATTCTTTTATTGATCTAATTAACTATTGGTTAATTCATTTACATATTATTGAAGAGTTATATTAAATAATTACGATGATATTTAATTATTAATTGAATATACTAAATACATTTAAAAAAATTGAATATGTTAAATATATTTTGAGACAGATGGAATATTTTAGTAGTGTTTAGCTGTTAACTCTATTTTAATAACTTTTCATAAAACGCTAAAAAGCTAAATGTTACATAAGTTAAAGTTTTTTTACAAAACATTACCCTAGCAAATAAATATATATAATACTGTCCATATAAATCGTCTAATTATCTCCTCATCCCTGTTGGAGTCATATGTCCATGGCAGAGGAATTAATTGATAATATTACCAAAATTGGGTATAAAAAAGGAAAAAAAAAAAAATGTAAGGATCACTGGTTCGAATTGCACAACTTTGACAGACTTTCGAATTCACTCCCCAAAATAGTTGGCTGTTAGTTACATATGACAATTAATGCTATAATTAATTAATTAATTGCTATTGTTGTTTTGCTGAATGTGAGCTCCACATTCGATTTTCCATTTTTTATGTATTTTGTGTTCATAGTGTACAATTTTGAAAAATTTCGATTTCCCATTTCTTTTGAAAAACAAATGAAGAGAGAATATGTATAGAAAGAAAATAAAGCAGGAATAGAAATTCTATAGTGTTCAAAAGTGGAGGATTGTAATAAATCATAAATCAAAATTTCCATTTTTCTTTTTTTATTTAATATATTTTTTCACTATTCAATTTCATTATCTGTATCAAAACATAATTATCGTATTTTTATTTGCTTGAAGAAAAATTTATTTAATCCTAATAAATACTTAAATAGATTTAACATACAGTCTAATCTAAAAAATAAAAATTATCGAAAATTTTCTATAATTTATCAAGATTTAATTATTATTAGTCTAATGAGATCAATATTTATTTATTTTAGTTATTATAAAATTTAATTACGGACTAATGTTGCGGATTACACAAATTCTTCCTAACTTGATAAATTTATGAAAATTAAAATGTTCCGAGACTTTTTACCTGTGGCATGAGCAAGAGTAAGAAGATCAACATTTATATTTCGTACACGATCGACCACATTATTTATTTTACGTGTGAAAATCCCTATTTATTTAGGGACTGCTATGAAGTAAAATAATAAAAATTAACACAACACACTCTCTCCTTTTCTCGCTCTTTTTTCTTTTTCTTGTCTCAGAAACTCCATTGTCTCCAACAGTGAACTGATCTCACAAAAACCCTCCGATTTAGGGTTTTCAAAATTCCATTGTTCACATTATTCGTCTTCTGCACTCTCTCTTTCCCTCGCCTTTTGTTTTTGATATCTGATTCGAAATTAATAGAGAAAGAGAAAGAGATAGAGAGAGGCTACTGTATTTTGTGTTTGCTCGGACATGGAGTATTACGGAGTGGTGGTGGCATTTTGAGTAAATAAAGGATGAAACAAGGGGCAGGATTGGGAATCAATGGGAGTGGCCAAGTCCTGGAGGTTTAGCGTTATATCGGCGAACCTGGCGCTGTTACAGCAACAAAACGGTAACCATAGCTCTAACAGAGGCGGCGGTAAACACCACCACCACCACCACCACCATCACAGTCACAATGAGTGGTGGAGATCCTCTGGGACGCAGCAGCGCAGGAAGATCCCGTGGTCGCTAGTTTGCGGGATAATGTTGTTCGTTCTGGGCTTGATTTCGCTGTTCACTGGACACATGGCGTCCTGGTATTCTCACAGACTTATCACGCGGGAGACAGACCCACTGGTAAAAACACTTTCTATTTCTATTTTTGTTTTTTGAGTGCAAAAATAAAAAAAGAAAACATTGAAATTCCCAGTTGAAATGTTATCAGCAATTTAATAGTTAATTATAGTATTTATTAGTGTAAATTTAATATTGACAGGAAAGGATTCGGCGAGAACCCATTGATATATGGAAATCCAAGTACTCAAATTTCTATCATGGATGCAGTGAAAGAGGAAGAAATTTTGCCCGTAAGTTATAATTGATGAATTAGCTGCAATATCTTTTATTGGCTATGATTATCCAATAAATGTTAGCTGTTTCCAGTATTTTGCTTCGACTCATTCCTTTTCCACTGATGCTAACTATTAGTTGAGAAACAGCTACTTTGATTTGGAGATTTATGTGTCTTTTATCTTCTTCCTTCTGATATTAATGTCCATTCATTTGCTTTGTTGTTGACGTTACCATGTCTTAAATTGTCCTACACTGGTCAAGCATTCTCATCTTTAAGTGTCTTTAGTTGCGTTATTTGTTGAAGGTTTTATTTTGCTTAGATGGTACAATTTTAATGTCTATACGTTTGTACTTGAAGAACAAGCAGAAATGTGATTATTCAATGCTTTAGTATTGTCCTAAATTTATTATAAGAATCTGTGAAAACATTTCTGCATGCATTTCTGGCCAATCTTTACCCTTCATATTCATTGTTATGCTTCCCCTGGGTTATGGTGCCACTGCTCTATGTACCTGACTACCTGTTTATTTTTCCCAAGCATCATTTTCTGCTGATGGCTGCAACCTTTCTTTGGCTCACAGCAATAAGTTTGTCATAGAATGTAGGTTATCTAGATTAAGTGAGCACGGATTGTGAATTTCTCTTTTTAGACCCCTTCCTTAATGATGTAAGTTCTGAAAATTATATTCTTAAGCGTGCAAGTGTTCCAATTGTTATTCAACCAATATTTATCGTTGTTGTATTTTCTTCCTTGGTTCTTTTCAGAAAGTATGAGATCATTTTCTTTTTTCCTTTCTGAATCTTGTTGCAGTTTTTGCAACCGAAATTTGCCGCTTCTTGTGTTGGTTTGTTGTCTTGTATCTAACCATATGCATGACGTCTGACAGGATTTGCTCTTTTTTATTTATGTGAGCACTGAGTAATTTTTTTTGATTAATTTGCTTCCTGCTGTTTGAGTGCATTACTGTTTTCCATTTTAGCTTCAGTGTTCCTTGTCTTAATTAATGTTAATATTAATAGCAATTTTGGAGATTTCCATGAAGAAATTCCCCAACTTGTGGAATTATGGCATGTAGATATCATTGTAACCACCTGCTGTATCTAGAATAATTTGATAATGATGGTTTGTGTTTGTAAAACCTACACGCAGTAAACACTACTGCTGCTCAAGTTTTAGGTTTCCAGGCACATTTGCATCAACTGAGCTTACTGGGGGCGTTTTCTTAGATATATTGTCTCCTGTCTTCCATATGATGTAGTTAAGAAAAAGCAAGAAAAATACATGTTCTTTATGTTTTTTTAATATTATTATATTATGTTTTATTTTTTAGTTTTGAGCCAGACATTGTTTATGTTATTGGATTGAACTTTTTAACACTTTGTAATTTTTATATCTAGCTGCCAAACGGGAGAAGTCATCAAATGGCTATTTGCTTATTGCAGCTAGTGGAGGGCTGAACCAACAAAGAACAGGAGTAAGTGAAAGTTGTATTATACCATTGCTGTTAGAAAATCTGGTGGAAGAACTTGTGATTGAATCAGGTTGTCAAATACAACAATAATAACAAAGCCGTAATCCCAAACTAGTTGGTTAGCCATATAAATTCTTTGTTTCCATTTCATTCCATTCGTATCTAAGTCGGCACTAATGTCAAGAAGTAGTAGATCTTTTTAGACTAGTTCCCTCCACTTTATTTCTAGGTCTAGCATCAATACATTGCACTTATGAACCAGAGCACATGATGACATAATCAAATCATCTTAGACGTCTCTCATTTGAATCAGTTTTCTGAGTGCTGTTATGCATTTGCCATTTGTCCTTAGTATGTTTATTTGGACTAACAAGTATCACTTACGTTAGTTTGTTTAAAGGAGGTTTTGTGAGATTTTGATTTCTAGTCTTTGCTAAGAAGTTTGCATTATTCGCATCAAAAGGTGAATTTATTTATTTATTTTTTTTATTTTTGTGAAAATGACAATCTCTTTCTGCACTCAGATAACTGATGCTGTAGTTGTTGCGCGGATTCTTAATGCTACATTAGTTGTTCCAGAGCTCGATCATCATTCATATTGGAAGGATGATAGGTAAAATGGGATTCTATTAGTCAATTATTAGTAAAAGTCAATCTGTTATTATCTTGTCTTCTTTTTCATAGTAGTACTGTTTACAGTCAACTTCCCATTCTTATTATATTATACATTACCATACAGTGATTTTGTCAACATTTTTGATGTTGATTGGTTCATTTCCTACCTCGCAAAAGATGTGACAATTATCAAAAGAGTTCCTGATAAAGTCATGCGATCAATGGAAAAACCTCCGTATACCATGCGTGTCCCAAGAAAATCCCCCCCTGAGTATTACCTAGATCAAGTTCTGCCCATCCTATTGAGGAGACGTGTAAGACAGTTTGCTTGATTAGAAACTGTTTTCTTTTATTCTTTTATTTTCACGACATTCTGCTTAGTGCCATACATTTTCATTCAAGGTCTGGAAGACATCTTTTCTTGATTTTGTTATTAGTTTGTAGTCGGTCTAATCTCTGGAAATTGTAGGTTGTACAATTGACAAAGTTTGACTATAGGCTTGCAAATGACCTTGATGAAGAGCTACAAAAGTTGCGCTGCCGAGTTAATTATCATGCTTTAAGATTTGCAAAACCCATACAAGATATTGGCCAAAGACTTGTTATGAAAATGAGAAAGATGGCAAAACGTTTTATCGCAATCCACTTGAGGTTTGTCTCTTTCGCTTGAGTTCTAATATTAATGGTGTGCTTATATTCAATATTTTCATTCTGTGGGAAGGTATTTCTATCACCTAGGTTATGCAGAGTTTTTCATTGCCTAACTGAAACTAAACAGATCCGTGTCTCTTTTGAGTGTGAATAACATGTTAACAGAAAACTTTAAGATTCTGTATTCCTTGCATTGGTGCTGCTCTCACAATGTGAAATTCTAGAAGTTAATGATGAGAATTTGGTCTGCCTTTCCATTTTCTCTTACACGTCTTAAATATCAATAGACGTATTCTACTTACTTTGCTTCAGTACTCTGTTCAATTCATTAAGTGTGCTTTAATATGTTTTTTTGTCTAGACATTATCTCATAAATTTATGTTTTATTATGAATTCGTATCCATACATCGACATAGACAATGAATACATTAATAAATATATGGTTGAATTTTGTTTGGATTTCCTCATTTGTGGTCCTAACCCTTTTGAATCGCAGGTTTGAACCTGATATGCTTGCATTTTCTGGATGTTATTATGGTGGGGGAGAGAAAGAGAGATTTGAGCTTGGTGCAATAAGAAAGAGATGGGACACATTACCTGTGAGATTCTTGTCCTTTTTATGACTTGTGTCTAAACTGAAGAAAAGAATTCAGTCCTCTAGGGTTATATAAGAATTTGAAAGTTGTTTTTGTCTTGCTAAAGGATTATATAAGTATTTAAACTCTTAACAAAATATGTGCCTAAAAAATTGATTTGAATGTCACATGTTGCAATTCTCTTCCATTGACCAAGAGAAATAAGACCATGCGTATCAAGGTGCGTTCTGGTTATGGTTTATTCTGTCTAATTTGACGTAAACTTTGATGATTTTTCAGGATTTAAGTGCAGAGGAAGAGCGGGCAAGGGGGAAATGTCCACTTACTCCTCATGAAGTGGGGTTGATGTTGCGTGCCCTTGGATTTGCTAATGACACATACATCTATGTTGCATCTGGAGAAATATATGGTGGAGAAGAGACTCTGCGGCCACTCAGAGAACTCTTTCCAAACTTCTACACAAAGGAGATGCTTGCTAATGAAGAACTGAAGCCTTTTCTTCCATTTTCTTCTCGCCTGGCAGCCATCGACTACATTGTCTGTGATGAAAGTGATGTTTTTGTCACCAATAATAATGGAAACATGGCCAAGATTCTTGCCGGTCGAAGGTGAGAAATTTGATTTGCAGTGTTCCCTGTTATGCTTTTATGTACTTTTAGATTAGACTTCTTTGCTGTTTTCAATTTCATAGGATGAATATGGATTTGCTGTTTTCAAGTATTTTGCTTGTCAAAATAATGTTGATTATGAAGCCTCACATTCTAATAATTTAGTAAAATGTGAAGAATTTTCATAGCTATTACAAAGAAGAGAAATAAAAGCTCACTATAGAAATATATTCTGCTCCCATACGTAATGTGGAAGCAGTTAAAATAAATTGGATATTAACTGGATTCAGAAATTAAAGAATTCATGAATGAATCCTGCACTTGATGGGCAGTGCTTCAATAGGTAAAAAATCAAAGAATCAATTTTTTATCTTGTTCCCACTATTGTCAATATAAGTAAATATTATTGGAGTATACTAATTTGTGAAACCTTTTCTGTTTTTCATTGCATGGATACAAAGGAGGTATGCAGGGCATAAGAGGACCATTAGGCCAAATGCAAAAAAGCTCAGTGGATTGTTCATGCAAAGGAATGAGACAGACTGGGATACATTCGCGAAAAGAGTGAAAGCATGCCAGAGAGAATTTATGGGAGAGCCGAACGAGGGGAAGCCTGGACGAGGTGAGTTCCACGAATATCCATCTCCTTGCATATGTGAGAAACCATTCAGTAGTGATGAAAGCAGCAATGATGAAACTCGCCTGTTAGACCAAGTTCCTGTAAACTCAAAAATTTCCATCCAAGTACGTTGAGGAGAATCAAGGAGACAAAAGCCATGGAAGGTCAAAAGAAGAGAAGGCATGGGAGAACTTGTACCTCTAAAGGGATATTGAGGATGATAAAAATTTCCAGACTAAGGTAACTGAAGAACTAAGCCCAGAAATATGCGGTGGCTTAATTTAATTTTATATTGATCAGATTTTCTGAGACAGTTGAAGGCTCAGTCATTTCGTCTCTTCAGCTTGCCAACCTTCTGATGCTGGTATGAAATTTTATTCCCCAGCATTACAACTGAAGCTTGCTAAAATGTCAGTAATCTGGGTTCTTGTGGCTACAAGGAACAAATTGAATTTGTGTACAGAAATGATCTTTGATGAGTTGCAATTGTTCATAAAATAGTTTTGCTAGGTACACGTCTTAGGTATGCCAGAAATTAAAGTTTCGACTTCGTAAGTTGCATTATTATTAAAATTTATCATTTTATGTCTTTCTCTTTTTCATTGTGGTTCAGATGATCCAATGAAATTAGCTTTGTTGATAAGGATGAGCAACCTTCCTTTTTATTAATCAGGTGCAGTTTGGGTGGAAAAATTATTCATGTATGAAGCTGATGAAGCAAAAATGTCCTTAAAAATAATTTGAAAATGAATATAATTCGTTGTGTGCCAGCAGCAAAGGAACACTGAATTCCAGTGCCAAAAAAAAAAAAATAAATAAAAAAAATTATGGTTTTAGATCTGGTGGGTTAATGGTCACGTGCGAGTGTGGTTGGTTTTTCCATCTTAGGCGACTAAAGCTTGCCACTTGCCGAGCTCGTTTCATAAGGACATTGTTTTGATGATCTGCGCATCCATGACCATAGTTTCTTTCATCTTGCAGAATCACGTAGAGCATGCTGGTCTTCAAAATGGGTGGAACTAGTAACCCATAGTTAGCGCATTCATCCTAGTTAGAAACCCCAGTTGCGCGTCAAAGTCACAGTCGATATTGTCACTCAACCGGATCACCAGAGCTATCCAGTTGAATTACCGGGACGATGTCAGAAAGGGTTTTTATTTAAACATCAATTGGTCGTGTATTAGCAGACAATATACATATATGGTTTAAGGGTTTTTATTTAAACATCAATTAGTCGTGTATTAGCAAACAATATACATATGGTTTACGATGCATTGCCGTTCAAAATTCAAAATCAAGATATTAGGATTGGACTTGCCAATTGATTCATAACCTTTTGAAAATTTAATGATGTCATAACCAAGTCACTCTGGAAAATTAAAGGAGAAGAAACAAAAAATGAAAAGTTCATTAGGTAAGTCGAGCGTTCTACTCAGAAAACATGGACACATCTGTAAATATTTCACTGAAAGGGCCAAATGTTTTTCTTTAAGATGCATCTATATTTTATTTAGTTATTTTTCTGTTAAAAGATTCGTTCCACTAGAATCTGTTACATGATCCTCAAATCTCCAACATGCATTCTAGGACGCATTCAGATATTGGAGGTTGTGATAATACACATTCGTAGGATACATACACCTGTGACTTGAGCGTAGAAAGTGAGCAAATAGAACATTTAGCAAACTGGGAAAGAGAAAAATTAGATAAAATGCATCATTTTCATTTAGCATATGAAGATCACAGTTCCATTTTTATTTCTTCCACAAGATTTTAGTCTGAACCGGTAGACAACAAAAGTGTGCTTATTGATTAGAAAAATGACCATCTAAAAGAAAAATATAAAAGGGTGATAATCTCATCTGCAAAAGCTTCCTGAAATTTCAACCCAAACTACATGGACAATTTCCATATACAACCTATTAAGGCAAAATGCCTAGGAAGATTAAATCATAATTTGTGAATACACTAAAATTGATATGAACATCTACCAACTACATTTCATAATTAAAACCCAAGGAAGCAAGAATTTCCATTCCTAGCTATCTCCCCTATTATAAATATACACAAACTACTTTTGAGTGTGTTCCACTGACCATCAAGCTTCTTTGTAATGGATCCAACATTTTCCTGGGATCTCTTTTTACCCATGGTTATTCCCTGCTACAATGAAGCAGTTAGTTTATGCACTGAGAGAGAGAGAGAGAGAGAGAGAGAGAGGAGGACAAGAAAGTGATTTGTCATTTTCAGAGCTGAAAACTCACCTTTTAGAAGCGGTTCTACTTTTATGGCTTTTGTCATGTGCCACGGATGGAATTTTTGAAACCATCAGTGAGCTTTGCAGCCCTTCTAATAGCTGTGGGTAACATGTCAATAGGCGTATCAGATCACTATAGGTTACATAATCTAGCAAATAAAAAATTCTTAGATCTGAACACTTACCCTTGATGTCGGCTGAATTCTGCGATTAGACCTACGAGGCTCAACAGGATCAGAGGTTGATTTTGCAGAATTACCATTCCAAGTCTTGCCCTCCTCAATTTTATTCAACCTTCCACCAGCAGAGGCAAGTTTTCCTTTGCTTATAAGCTCAGCTTTAGCATTTAAATTAGACATTTTCTTAGAAGAAACAGTATCAGATGGAAGAGGAAGCGCAGAAAATAAGATTGGACCCTCTGCAGCCCCATCAGAGCTAGAAAATGATTGAAAGCCCATCGGGTTCTGCTTTTCCAAAGTGTTCTCAACACGGTTTACAGAATCCTTGGTCTTTGTGCTATGATCTGTACTAGCACTATCATCAGGAGCAGAAACTGCAGAGGTTGATAGGTTGTCCTTCTGAAGAATTGTTCTACTGGAAACATTTTGTGGTTTTCCAGACTTCAGCACTTTGGGCTTGGACAAGGCTGCTCGTTTATCAGTTGATTCAGTTTTTGCAGTACTTTTCCATCCTCGGGGTCCGCCTCCTTGAGGCATCAAATATTTTGTGAATTTGACCGACTCATTTGCTTCATTCATTTGACTGCTCCCATCTGCAACATAATGCTTGCTAACTTCCATAAATTTCCTTTTCTTTCCAGGCTTGGGCACACCAAAAATCACTCTCGATCCTTCCTTCTGCAACCCAGTCCTTGTCATTCTCAGCACATTAGGCCTATTATCATCTTTAGTACTCTTGCCAACATTGAATAGTTTTCCATCAACAGATAAATCTAATAATGTTGGATCATCAGATTTATCAGATTCCATCACATCCATACTTTTTGAAGCCTTATCCTTTCCCTTGGCCTCCACTGCAGGGCTTCGCACCCGTTGTCGCTTCTCTTGAGGAGTTTCACCCTGAAAACCAGATTTGCTATTGCACATCAGTGCGAGAAACATTTCAAAGTCAAAACTGGGAAGAAATCAAATGAATAAAAACATAATGAGCACCCCATGAGGTGATCGTCTGTTCTCTCCTGCACTGGAGCATTCAATCCATTCACCATCTTTCCATATGAGAGAAGGCCGAAGATCCCACGATTTAAGTACTGAAGTTTCTCCTTGAGCTGCAAGCGAAGTGGCAGGAAGATTTACCTCTAAACTAAATCACTATCAACTAAAAATTAAGTTACCAAGGAACTAGACTATCAATCACATATACCAGGAAAATTGACAGTTACAGCCTCATCTTTCTTGTTCATTTCAGTTATAACTCCCTCCCACCAGCTGAAAGAATAAAACAAACAAGATGAACATGTATGCTAACTATTGTTCAACATGAAAGCAGATGAAGAAGAATGATTTAGACTGAAAGCATAAAAGAGGTCAGAAATGTTGAGAAACAAATGATTAATAAACCCTATTTATGGCACAAAATACAACCACAACTTGCACAGCCAATCACAAAAGTTGAGAAATTTCAATCATTGTCCTAGTCGTGCCAGCTAGAACACAACTACGGAACAAGCAACACCAGCCAAAAATAATTACAAAAAATCTGTCCATTTAAGTTTGCAGCAAGATTGTCTTTTGTAGATTTGAGGTCTCCCCATTCACTAGCCCATAATCCCCCGTTATTCAATTGACAACAAACAATATCACAAAAACGACCTTCAGCAGGTAACACTGATTCACTTGTCCACCTGCCTACCTAATGATTAACAAAAGTTGATAAAAAGTACTAGCTCACAAACATATGGATCAAACATCTTGGCTTGGTGCAAATACTAAGATAAGGATGATTGCAACAGGCAATAGGAAATCGGCCTCTTTAGTGACTGGGAGCTTGAAAAATTAACTTAATTATGTTCTTGTATTCGCTGAGAAAGAACAGAAATGAAATGCAAACACAACGTCCAACTGAAATTTATGGACAACTAAAACAGGGAGGAAAAGAAAACCAAAACTATGGGCCAGTCAACTCAATCATGCTAAGTTATGTACATTACATGGCATCTGTGACTCATTTGTCGCTATATTGCTCATGATAAATGTCCCTTTTTTGTCAGATTTCATAACTTCTAGTACAGATAAAAATCAGAAACTTAGCGACAAAATTTGAAAATTTATTATAGAAAACAAAGTTCTGTTTTTATTTTTTAATGCAGAGGCCAATAAATTCAAGGTATTGCTCCCACGCAACGACCAGAACCAAAAACAGTTGTCAGATATGTCAGATCCATGCATCACATCCATACAATATTAATATTTAAACAAACCTTTCTTTTCTCCATGCATCAACTCTATCACCAACAGACCAATTATGGTCCCCTATTGCAGCTCTCCTCCTCTTCCTCTTTCCTTCAAATAGCATGGCAGTCTTAGGACGGGCAATACGTATTTTGGGTGCCTCATCTCCTTCACCTTCAAGTGGCACCCACTCCTCTAGCTTTCCTGAGCCTGAGGGACAAAAAATCAAACAGATAAAATGAATAGATTATTGACTGCAGTACTACAGCACAAGGAAAAAAATTCCAGCAGTATTTATTCTTTCTAATTTCTAAAACATCTTTGAATAAGAAGAATTGTTAGGGGAACAATAGTTCTAATCCAGTATTCTTTCTCAAGAACAGGGGTTGAACAATCTGATGTGCTGACAATCTTCCTAAGATGCTTAGGACACGACACCACTAGATCCTTTCTAACACAATAACCTTCTCTAATACTGTCCTGGATCTTCTAGTAATTTCATCACAGTCGATACCAATCTTTCTAACTGAATATACCAATATGGCACAGACTAGCTGCATAACTACACAGGAACCTCGCCCTTTTTCTCCAGTTTAAGTGATTGGCAACTGCATAACCATGCATACATCAGGTAACTTGGCCGCCTTCATTTGGTGTCATTTTAAGGTAGCATTTTGTGATGAAATTGACTTCCGACCAAGGGTGATTAGCATACATTGGCCATATATGGCATTCTTCAGAGCACCAAGTCGTGAAGTAGCTCAAACTCCAATGATGAGCTTATCTAGACTGAGCACAACAGAGGTTCTCCAAGATTTTCTCAATTCATGTGTGTGGGCATTCCATTGACTCATAAATCGTGCACCTACGATGAATAAAATAGCTTACCTTCACTTGATGTAAGGTCACTGTAGCGCACATAAGCCTTCCCATCTTTTAGACTCAAAACATCAGCTAAAAACCAGGCGGCTTTAAATCCACTCCCATCCTTGAAAACCTTTAATAATAGTAAAGGCAAAACAGAAGAGTCCAGAATGTAAATTAGCAAACAAAAATAACAAAAATAAACAGGAAGTAGAAGAAAAACTATACAGAGCAGCAATCAGGACAGGTTCCAATTTACTCTATGGTATTTGAAACATGCGATTTTGCAAAGTTAAAAATTTCAAACCTCAACACAGGAATCCTCCTTAATGCTATTCTCTTTCAAAAATTCTTGATTTCCATGCTCATTCTGAACATTTGATCTGGATCCATTCTCAGATTCAGGAACCACCCCAATGGTTTTAGCCAAATCAGATGCCTTGCGACCTTTTTGCGCTTTACCATCTTTTATCGTGGTTGCACCAGAACCTGACAAGCCCTCCACCAATCTCCCAAGGTCCTCACCAATTATCTCTGTAGAAGTAGGTGACTTCCCAACGTTAGAGACCTGATTCTCTTTCTTATCAGATAGAACCTCTTTTAACTGCCTGGCAGAAGTATCTGGATCTCCACGACAGTCCACATTTACATTTTCTCCACCAATCTGATTTGATTTTGAAACCAGCTCAGAAGTTACTTGTGATACTTTCCAATAACCCCCTGGACCAGCTGCTACTAGTTCACTCAACGACAAAGGGTCGCCCATAGCTACTATTTTCCCCGCTTGAGAGACAGCTTCAGCAGCCAGCTCAGCAGCTTTTACAATGGCATCCATATTTTCAGCTTGTTTTGATGCAGCCGAAGCAGCTTCAACCCTCCTTCTAGCTGCCTCTCTTGCAGCAACAAGGATTGAACTGGAACTGTTTGTTCCATCATCACCCTTCAAGATGGATGCAGGAGTAGCCTTGCCCAAATTTTTCATTCCATCAGAAACAGAAATAACGTTGACTTCACAAGGATTCTGATTACCAATAGAAACTACTTCTTCAGCCATCAGTTTTGCCTGCAATGCAGCATTTGATGCAACCTTGGCAGCTGCAGCTGCCGCCTTAGCAACAGCAGCCGCAGCTGCTATTGCAACAGCTGCAGAAGCTAGTTTGGTTTCATCTTCCAGTGACAACCCTGAATTTCTCTGCTTATCCAACTGATTCCATATTTCCTCACTATGACTAACAGCAGAAGCAGCAAGAGCAGCAGCGTTCTCTGCCTGCACCTTAGCCTCCTTTAGCTTACCAAGGGTCTCCTCTGACAAAACTGCCCTAGGTTCTGCATTCTGCTCACCTTTCCTAAGATCCACAGCAGATGTAGGAGTTACAGAGGTAATGAATTTCTCCGTAGGGGCTTTAGAAACAAAGCTGGCAGGAGTTGCAATGGCAATAGGACTAGTCATAGGACTCATAACAGCAGAAGAAATAACTGATTCCACTTGAGGTTGAGGTGGCAAAATATTCTGCCTATGATTCTCAGAAACTGATGACTTTTTCATTTTTCTAGGCTTTGGATCAGCAGAAGTTTGACCAGATGATGCAGTAACCATTTTCACATCAAGTGCAGAAGAAGTCCCAGCAAAAACAGTAGCAGAGGCTCCAGTCTGAGCCACAGGACCAGTGGGCTTTGCAACAGAGGAATGGGGCAGAGATGATTCTTTTACAGGTGTCAATTGAACAGGTTCAGTGATAGGCAATTGCACAGAGAAACGACCACTCGTCTCAAGAGTAGTAGTTTGTGGAGAAGCAACCCAAGGACCACCAAAAGGGCCCTGAGATAGCCAAGAAGGGTTATGCCCAACAAAATTCCTGATAGCTGGAGTTTGATGAGGATGCAAAGGAGAAAGTGCTCGCTGATAATCCATAACAGGACCCCTAGGCATGCTGTTTTGCAGAGTGTCACCCGGAGTAGGCATACTCCAAAGTGGTGAAGAAAAAGGTACAATAGGATTCACAATTGTTGGTGTACCCTTGTTGCTACCTCGACTGGCAGGTGAGACTACTTTACTTTGAACTGAATTTTGTTTGATTGATTGTTCAGGAGCTCGAGCACCTGTAAATCTCAATTCTGAAACACTTGCACTAAACCAAATTGAAATAAAAATTAATCAGTTTTAGGCAGAGAGATACCTGGACGAGACTGCAGAGGGGTCTCAGGGGTTATCAGAGGTGATCTTTGACCATGAAGCCTTTCTATACATGAGCGCCAGGCATTCTCCCAAATACTCTTACCACCATCTACAGGCCCAAAACAGCAGGAAGTGATTATGCATTCCTACATCAATGTCAAGAGCCACGAGATTGAGAGACTTACCAGGTCCTCCAAATGCAGATATCATGTATGCTTCATCAGGTGCGGTTCCTTGACTGTCATCAATAATTTCAAACACCATTCAAAGCAGGATCAAACCATCAGAATAGAAATCTTTTCCATGAATATACAATTATTCTACAAACTCTACCCATTAAGACCCAAAGCTGAACATATATCAGCCAAATCCTTTTCTTTTTCTTTATATTTTTCCAGGACTGAATGGCATAAAAGGTGCAAAGCATGCCAGCAAAGACATCTGCAAGCACCTTAACCACATCCATAAAACTAATCCAACCCACTCTAATGTAATCTATGTCATGATGTGTCATTAGCAACAATGTAAAAACAATAAAAAAAAAAATCAAAGAATAGAACCCACATTAACGCTCCATAAACAAATATCTGAGCACGCAATTGCACTTGCTGTAAGTCTGTAAAAGGTTGCTGAAACACTGGAACCGGAGAAACTGAAGAATTTAAATCCGGCAGGCCAGAAGTTGATGTTGCGAGAACAAACGGTTTCACACTATTGGAATCGATATGCACATAGCGTTGCATCTCACTGGATTGCACAAGTTGTGAAACGCCAGATGGGCTAAGGGAAACACTAGCTGTTTTGTCCCCTCTTTCTAATCTCATAGAAGATGTTTCTTTAATAGGGTTTGCCTTCTTACCCGTTTCTTTTGCTGTCGTCTTACCTGAAGATCGTCTTGTTTTACGCTCAGAATTACTTTTAGAACCAGCACGTCCAGTAGTTACCCGAGAAACCTTCGGACTTCCATGAGAAAGATTTGGAGATATCTTGGGATCTAATTGGCCTAACCCAGAGCTTGAAGTAGATTCATCCACAATCTTTAAAAAGGAGAGAAGGGAAGACAAATTAATAAGAAAAATATGTAAGCATTAAAGGTGATGTCATAGTACATTTCCCAAAGAATTTTCTAGCAAAAGGAGATTTACCGGAGATGCTTTGCTAGCCCCCATATGTGAAAAGGGCTGCCATTTCTGAGCATCTTTTTGAGGCAAATTCGCCAGTGGAGTAACCTCAAACGTGAAGCTACTCTCATCTTTAGAAGCATCATTTTGATTTGGTTCCTGAGAAGCAAACTGCACCTTGGTGGCACTGCTATCAGTTACCTCAGAAACGGAAACACTATGATCAGGCAATTTTTTGATTCCCTCCTTGTTACTTCCATCATGAGAAAGCTCAGTTGTCTTGATTACAATAGGGGAATCACCCATTGGCTTGTCAAGATCAGCACTAACCTCATGTACTACTGCATAAAGTATAGGTTGGATTAAAAAAAAAAAAAAAAAAAAAAAAAAAAAAAAAAAACAGGCGAGGAAGGCAAATTTTTTTTTGATTTCACTCTCTTCCTTCCTTGTTTTTTTATCTTTATTCCATCATGAAAGAAAAGCTAGGTTGTTCGTTGATTACAATAGGCCCTTGGAAAATATCAACTCAACCCTAAATTCTTGGCAATTGTCAAGATCAGCTACAACTAAAAGACTTCTTAAAATGTAACTCTTACTACAGCACCTAAATGTATCAGGTTTGGCATTAAAAAAAAAAAAAAAAAAAAAAGAAAACAAAAAAAAAAAAGAAAGAAACACTATGAAGGGAACTTAAGACCTATCCAAGGTCACATATACCAAAGGAAAATTTGACAGTTTACAGGCCCCATCTGTCTTGTTTTCATTTCAGTTAGTAACTCGCGCTCCAGCCAGGCTAAAAAAAAAAAAAAAAAAAAAAAAAAAAAAAAAAGAAAAGAAACACTGCTGGGTTTTATGGTAATCAAAGCAAATACTTATGAAGATGCCAAACGGCAATAAAAGTTGATGTTAACATGAAAATGATATTAAATAACCCTACCATTGGTGTTTGGAACAGCAACTTGCGCAGAATTCTTATCTCCAGATAGCATGACACTGTTTTCCTCCTCACCTTTTTGGCAGGTATTGTGGCAAGGTTCCTCCAAGGCTGAAGGCTCAGGTTCAAGCTTCTCATTGTTTACTTCTGTATAATAGGTAAAAGTATGCAACAAAAGCAATCACATTGAGTTTTAGTAAGAAAAAAAAAAACAATATTTTGCAACCAAATAAAAAAAATTATCACTGGATACAAATTTCAAAACAAATTAATCAACTCATATATTCACAAAATAGTTCGCCTGTATGTTGAAGAAGTGGCAAGTAATGCCACCAAGATATAATTGCAGTTCTTTTTATCCATCCACACTCTATTTCACACACAAAATAAACAAATAAGCATTCAAACACTCAGATAAATATCCCAAAAAGTTTACACTCTCATAGATATATATAGGGCATAAGCACACAAAAAGAGACCAAAAAAATAAAAACAATATATTTATTTCGACAACACCAAAATAATAAAAAAATTACATCTTGACGTCTGGAATTAATAACGAATTTTTTCCAGAAAACCGCAAGAGGACATATGATATTGTCACCTTTTTTTGTGATTTCTGATAGGGATTATCACCTTGCCCCAAAATATCAGTTTCGTCCAACTAAGCGCCCATAAGTCCCTTCCCGTTTATCTTCTGTCTGTATGACAGACTTGGAAAGAAGCATGAGTCAAGATATAAATGTCCACACCAAAAAACGACGGCTCTTCAGCAGGTAAACACTAAGATATAATTGGCATAATGTTTCCATTCCACTTGTCCTATCTAATCCTGCATGCCTACCACTAAACTTGCATTAAACACAAATACTAGTTGATAAAAAAGTATCCTACACAGCCTCACAAAACCAAATAATATTAGAGCAAATAAATCGATACATCAATTCTAAGGCGCCTTTCGAGTGGCATAAATACAATATTAACCAGAATAAAAAGTTTTAAGACACTAAACTCATATTGAGGCAATAATGACAAGGTTCATAATATAAGGAATAATATTCATAGGTACCTTTTAGTGGACTGGGGAGGGCATTATATGTGATAAAAATTAACTATTATAATATATTAATGATTCTTAGTATATATATATAGTTTATGGCTGAGAAGAATTATACAAAAGAAAATGAATGTCAACTACGCCGAGATAACGTCCATAAATAGAAGAGAGATAGGAGAAGAGAGAGAGAGAAGAGGCAATGAAATTGCTCATAGGATCGTTAAATACTTAAACCAGGAAAGAGCGGAGAAAACGCACAAAAACTAATAGAGGAACGCCACTAGCAAAACTAAGAAACTTCAACCTATCATCAAACAGTGCAATTACCTTCTCCGATAGATTGAGCAGCCAAGACCTAAGCTATGAATATAGTTATGAAGTAAAATTGCTCAATTAATATCAGACAAAATTGGCACTCCATAGTGACTTCATTTGAGCCTCTAAAATCCGGCTATACCGTATACTTATTCTAACAAATTTACAGATGCTTACCTGAAAAAGCTTTTTTTTAGGCTCCTTTTTTCACTGTTACTTTAACTCTTTTCTCACTATGCTTCAGTGCTAGTCCATCCGATACTTTGTTTGGCAGTTGAATCAACCAAAGAGGTTGACGACATTTTTTTGCTATTTCGCCTTCCGGCTCGGATGCGCTTCCTTCTTTTTTTTCTGTTGCGATTCCAAGATTTTTTCATATTAACTACTTGTCTACTTGTAGAGAGAGAGAGAGAGAGAGAGAGGAACCATGTAAATATCAAACTGCAAAATAAGATACAAACTAGAACTCTATAAACAGGTACTCGAAGATTGAGCAGCAAACTAGATAGTTAGAAATGTACATAACCCCATAACCCTAAATCCCCGTATACTTATTCTACAAATTACAGATGCTTACCTGAAGCATTTTTAGGCTCCTTTTCACTGTTTACTTTTACTACTGCTTCAGTGCTGTCTCCCTTGTTTGCAGTTGAATCACCAAGAGGTTGACACAATTCTTTATCCTTGGAGCGCTCCTGGTCGACTTTTTCAATTACTACTTCTTGAGGCTCAACTTGGACTTTTGTGTCACTAGCATCTGCTGCTAACAAAGAATGATCAACTGACACGGATGGCATCTGTACAGCAGCACCAGAAGAAGCATTTTCAGATTCAGAAACAGGATCCACTCCAGCTGTCGCTTGAGAAGATGCCTTGCAGTTAGAGAAACTTGCTTTTGTAGAAATCTTAGTAGCAATTTCTTCCTCCTTGTCTGAAGAAGTAAATACTGCAGGTAAAGGTGCAACTTCAACATTTTTATGATCAATAACTGCATCTACAGCAATGCCTTTTTCAGAGGACACTGGAACACAATCCACGGTACCACAGATACCAAGTTAGCACTTATGAAGTTAAAATCTGAACCTAGAAAACAATAAAGAAAGAGCTGGACAATAACTTAGTTATAAAACCTTGATGGTTAAGAGTCAGCAAAGTAAGAATTGATCATTCACCTGATTCACTTCCAGCAGTAGAATCTGATTGAGATTTTAAAACTATTAACTCAGATCCTGTGCTACCTTGAGCAAGAGATGAGGTTCCAACCCCTTTATCTATGATTCTATTCATGTCACTACCATCAGAAGGTAATTCTACTTTCTCCTTTTGCTCAATAACATGATCATATCTATCACAATTGTCATCACTCTGCCTGGGGACTACATTTTTTTCGCATGTTTCTGTGGATTCAACTATTGTGGACGATGAAACAGGACACCTGGCATGTGTTTCACTAATAAATTCAGCTGAAGCACATACCTCAGGCAAACTAGAATTAGCAGCTCCATGGCTACTGCAATTTCCATCAACTTTATCTTCAGAAGCCATATTGTCTTCACTAGATAAAAGAGATGGACCCAACTTGCTCACTAAGTTGTCGTTACCCAAATGAGACCTATTAGACTCCTCAACTTCATTCCTTTCAACTATAGTATTCTCTTCAATAACCATCAGTGATGCATTATCTGCTTCCATTCCAGATTGATCACAATCCCCCTTGGATATTATACAAGGTTCCTCCATGTTACCCAAGTTAGTTTCAATTGTACTCGTTTCTTCCACAGATTTTCCTGAGGCTATAGAAATGGTATTTTCAAAATGAGGAGCACTCGCTTCAACCATTTCCGCATTCAAAATTGTGGTATGCATTTGAACATCTTGGCTTAAAACACTCCCTTTCTCCTTATGCTCAATCTCATCTATTCCTGAAGCATCTATATTCTCATGAGCAATCTCATTTACATTATTTAAGGAACCTTCATTACTAAATTCATTGCTTCCAGTAATGATGTTTTGCATAGAAGCAATAGCACTATCAAGTTGTACCCCTGAAGCAGAACCTTCTTGTTTCCTGTTATCTAAAGTTTTATCAACAACATTATCAACTTCCCTTTCATTAATGTCATCACACTTGTCATCAATGAATGGACTCCCCTCAGCAATGGGCAATCCAACATCTACACTAATAGCAGTGAGGTCACCAGAACCTTGAGCAACAGATTCATCATCTTTATAAATCTGTGAACCATCCTCAGTTTGAGGCTGCTGCCCACTGCCATCATCATCTAACACAGAGAAATTCTCTGAATATTCAGCTGGCAGTGGCGTAGGTTGTACATTTGTAACATCTACCACCCTAGTTGGTATATTACTATCCTGTTTCAAGCTGGGGTCCATTTGCTTTATTATGCAACCCAGCTCATCACAGGCATCTGACTCCTTAGTATTAGTTTGTGCAGGAATAAGTTCTTCCTGACCAACTGATTTTAATAACATTTCAACAGATTCTGAGGAAGTCGCCTCAGACCAGACATTGTTACGCCTCGAAATTGAGCAAGACTCTGCTGCACTTGTACTAAACTGTATCCCACTACTACCCCGAGAGAACTCTTCAATCCACTGGCTATCTTCGTTACTTTCAATACCAAGAAAAACCTCAGTTTCAACCAAACTATCAAACCTTAAAGGTCCATGAAGACTGTCATCAAAATCAAATTTTGGAAGAGCATACGGCCTTAGAACAGGAGGAAATTTGTTGCTTCCTTCACCAGCTAAATGGAGATTCTGGCTTTGAAAATCATTGTCATCATAATCCATGGGTGTATACCTACAATATAAAATGGTGAGAGAGAGGAGGAGGACACAGGGGGAGTTCCAGTCAAGGTACAAGGATACAAAAATCAAACATCCTGCTAGGGGGAACTGGCAAACGTTAAAAAATAAAATGACTCAAATATATAAGCTGTGAGGAGTCATCTTAGAGATTCTCATATATATTACACAACAAGTAATTTATAACTAAACTAAACATCACACAATCATTCCATCATCCTTCTAGACCCTTACTAATTGTGCTACTTCTTTCATTTTCTTGAGCAATTACACCAATGCAATAGCAAATTACAACCTAGCCGTTGCCATGCCATGGTTAATGACGGAAGTGAATGGAAATTGGGGACAGAAATCGCTGTGAACTAAGTAACTAACATCATAAAATTTCCAATAAAATGGAAGGGAGGATAAGTACAAACAAAAGGTGCAATATGTACAGCTTACAGCATTGGCAAGTTAGACAATTTCCTTTTGTTTCACCACTAAGACTCTCAAGGTTCTATTCCACAGCCATAGCAATTCAATTGGCTTTCTTTGTAAAATCATAGACTTAATAATACAGTTAAACTACATTACGGCATCATAGTTTACAGTAAATCCATACAGATACATCTTCCACAACAATATTATGTGCTGGTTGCAACATTCACAAACTTTTACCAGGAACAATGCCACTCCCCTATGGCACTCACATATCAAATAGCCCGCCACCAGTACTTGGGACCATGAAAAAGAACATCAAAGATAAATAGATAAGATCAATGGTATAGTGAAGACCAAAGGATAATTGGCCATAAAAAACAACCTGAAGGTTTTAGTTCCACAAGTCTACTTTCATTTTTCTCATTTTTTATTGGGAGAGACAGTGAGAGAGAGAGAGAGAGAGAGAAGACTTACTTGTAAGAGACAAATATTTCTTCCAAATAGAGAGTTTTTGGTTTGCATAAAGAAAAGTCTAAATATCGGATGATACTATATTATTCCAACTTTTAGAGAGAAAAAAGCTTTAAAAAGAATGGTTCATGAGAGGGCACGTAACAATTTTGTTTCAAGAAAAAAATTTCAAAAATCAAAAGCCAAAGGGAGAAAAATAGCTAGAAGTTGCTATCACGCATGATGTACAAGAACAATTACTGCAAATGGTGGCGATGAGGATACATTTACTATCATCATTATGTTGGAAATGGGACGGAAGAAACAAGGTTATGTGAAGAAGAAAATATAAGTTACTACTCCCAGTAATCCCTCACAGGATTACTAATTAGGAAGAAATTTGACATACACCATAAAACTATTAAAAAGCAAACTATAAGCAGTCCATACTCACTGCTTAGATGATAGGAATCCATTCTGGGCTCAAGAGAAGAATCAATATACCACAAGCTCTAATGTGATAATCATAGGATAAGGACATGGCAGAATCATGGTATTTGTTGTACACAACAGTTATAACAGAACTGTCCATCTTAAATGGTTATGATTTTTGCTAAGATTGTAATAAAAAATACATGGCACAGTCATATTCAAGAAATAACTCAATCTCCCTATAACAAATATAACACCCACACACACACTTCTAAAAGGTGCTACAGTGAGTGGGATTGAATTCCACATCGATGATGAGTGGAATTGTAAGTGGTTTACATAAGCCAACTTGAAACTACTAGTATAACTTGGTTTACCAGTTTGGGCCACGGTTCAGCCTAAGACAGCAGGCTATATAGGGACAGTTTCAGGCAAAACCATTACCGATGGTATCAAAGCCACCTAGGATCAGGATTATGCAGAGCAAGTAGGCCCAAGGAAAGGGCTATTCATGGGACTAGAAGGCACGGGATGGAGCTTCCTGGGACAATAACGGACCACAATACGAGGTGCCGGTCATGGAGTGGATCTTGGCTAGAGCCTAGTTGTAAATATGAAGCAAAAGAAGTTGTGACAAGTACATTGCAAGCTATAAGGAGAGGAGAAATGTAAGACTTGCACCTCTCAGAGGTGTTAGCTTGAGTGGGTTTGAATCCCACATCCGTAATGGATGGAAATGTTAGTGTTTAGTACAGACCAACTTGAAACTACTAATATAACTTTGCTTAATTTTGGGCATGGTTGGACCCTAAAACAGCAGGTTATACAGGGACGGTTCAGGCAAGGCTGTTGCACTATCAATTACCAACTAGAAGCATAAACAGTGCACATGATAAATTTAATATAAACTGTGTGCATAGTATATATGTGTTTGTCACAAGAACATAGCTTGCAAACTGTAACTTTTATAATGAACTGAAAGAAAAGTCAAACATGAACATAGCTTACACAGTGTAAAGGAAGTGAACTTCACTGGATAGAAAACTGAAAAACAACCTCTGATTTTCTATGTTAACTTACAAATCAATTCTATACAGCTAGAACTGCTATCCAATTCCACATAAACCCTAATTCACGCCTCTTAAGCATTAATAACTTTAACAAACAAAATAACCACTTCCTCGCTCTTATTGCCAATTATTCTAGGAAAAAAAAAGTGAAGGCAATTTGAATTCGTTAAATTTAAACTAGCCATTTCCAAGCAATTTTTCTTCAATTTACACCGTCCATCAACACAACCAGAAAAAAATAAAAAAGCCTAACCTTATGAGCTTCTATTGGGGAAAAAAAAAGTAGGAAATGAACAGTACCAGAACAAGTAAGTCTAGAGACGCTACCTCCCTCCATCCGGTGACGAAATCCAGGCCGGTCGATCCTCAAGTCTTCCCCAATCGTACGCTCATCTACTGGTCCATAATAACCACCAAATTACAAAAGCTAAAGATTAGCCTTCCTTGTCACAAATTTGCTCACTTCTAGCTTAAATAAAACCCAATCAACTCATTACGCTAAACTAACAAAGAAACACAAAAAATTTCTGCTCACTGAAGACTGTATACTCACCGGAATCTTTAATTTGCCGGTGGATCGAGCTAGGGTTCCGGTTAATTGAAAACCGATAGGTCAAGTAAGTAAGAGAGAGAGAAAGAAAGAGAAAGAGAATTTTTCCTCTTTGTATTCGTACTCGCTCACTAGCGAAATGAAAACGGGTTCGTTCGATGTGTGTGAGGGGGAGAGAGAGAGAGAAATGACAGTGAGTGAACAAGTGAAGATTATCGAATTTGAAAAAAGTGGGGTATTCCTAGTTAGTCTTGATCGGACGGACATAATGGGATTGGAATATGGCACGTGGCAATTTTTAATACGTAAGATAAGGTGCAAACGAGTAAGGTTAAAGTAATGATAAAAGTTGCGTTGTGACAGTATCCTCTTTTGCCGTTCGATTTGTACGATTGAAGAGGATTTCACGGTGATAAAGGGTGCTGTGAGAGAGATGGTGACAGACGGGAATGTGAGACTTATAGGTTGACCGTAGAGTTAGGAAAATCCAAGGTGATATACCTTCTGGAGAATACATGGCAAGAGAGAGTTAGGTTGGGTTGAGTCGGAGAAGTAGAGTCGTGAACAGAGAAGGCTCTTGCTCTTAATTAGGAGAAAAAAGGTGGTGTCCTAGATAACATTTTGGACCGTTGGATTAGATGACTTTTTGTGGCCTTTTACATTAGTCTGTGGTTCAGACTTCAGTAGTAAAAATACATATGGGCCCTAATTTCTAAATTAAGTACTAATTAACACTTTTATAGTAAAAAATAACTATGATATCACTAATTTTTATTTGTATTTCACTTTGAGGTCCTTCCAAGTTCCAATTTCCAATCAAAAAGTAATTTTTTTTTTACTGTGAATTGAGAGCATAAAGTGTTAATTAAAACAAAAAATTTAGAGCCTCTAATGTAAGAATATATTTTAAAAAAAATATTTGTCTTTTTCTTTTCCAATTAATGATAAAGTGCTCGCTTTTTAAATGGAAGGATCCATGGTGATATGAAAACGAAAATTATGAATGTCATATATTTATTTTTCAAAAGCAGAGAGATGAAAGCATTAATTATGACATAATTTTGGAACTTGAATGTATTCCATCCAAATATAAAATTGAATTTAGCCTTTAAATTTTTATTTAATATTTAATTACAATGTAAAAATCTAGAAATAACTTTTGAATTTGTTACTAACCTAACCCACTGTTAGGTGAAAGTAATAAATATTAAATTTTTAATGTCAATTTTATTTTTAAAATAATAAAAATTTTAAAAATTTTAAAACAGAAAAGAATTCATTTTGTTGTTGAAGATGGAGAAGAAAACAAAATAACATCACTTTCAAAATTTTTCCATGTATTTTATCTTTTTAATTTTAATTTTAAATATTGTTTATTATTTTAAAAAAATAGAAAACTTAATGTTTTTTTTTTTTTTTTTAAAACTTAGTGTTTTTTTTTTTTTTTTGAATGGCTAAATTGATAATTTTTTTTTTTTTTTTTGAGATGGCTAAATTGATAATAAGCTCAAAGTTTATGTATGCAAAAGTTAATTTTGGACAAACACCCCGGCAAATTCCCGGGCTAATACTCTCCACGTGGCTTTTTCAGAAAATGTGAAAAAGAAAAAGAAAAAGAAAAAGAAAAATTCTCACTTTGCCATTTGCGGCACATTTTATTTTTATCTTATCTGCCAAAATCACATTGGTGATTTGGATGCGCAATGAAATATCATTTGCTTCTAATTTCTTTTTTCTTTTTTTTTTTTTTTTGACATAAAGAGGATTTGCTTCTAATTTCTTAGACCTAATAATTTTTGTATTTATATGTCACTCAACCCTATCCCTTGCTTGAGCATTGAAACTTTTTTTTTTTTTCCGAGACAACATTCTCCTAAGTGTTATAGCGAAAATATTTAAAATATCATTCAATTTTTTAAAAAATAAAATTTCAATAATCTTAATAAAATAATTAATTTTAATACAATAATCATTTGGTAATTTTAATAAAATAATTTTTTAATCCTAACTCCTTTAGTCGATACCCTAAATGACATTCCCTGAATGATTAACCAAGCATATATTTTTTGAGAAATTTTCTCACAATTTTTCTTCACTGTTATCAGAATAATCATTTAATCAATATCAACATATACGTTAATTAGTAATTTATTTATATATAAACATAATTATTTAGAACTAAAAATATATATTAAATGTTTACTAATATAAATTATATTTCATGAAAAAACACTTGTAGGATGAATAATCATGAACTCCAAATAAGATTGATTCATATTTTAAAAATGTGTAGAATACCGATAAGAAAAATAAATTATGTAAATGCTTAAAAATGTTAGATTTGTATCTTGTATTTTGAAATTATACTATCAATCAAGTGGGACTTAGAGGCCAAAATGAGTCCCAATAGTATGAGACTGGGTCATTAATCAAAATAGAGTCCTCTAACTTATAAGTAGCAAAGTTATATAATATGATTAAAATTTTTAATATTTGTAGTGACTATAAAATGCATTATATATTTTTATTATAAAATTCACAATTAAATATTATGACACCCTATTGTCAAATTCAATGCAAAAAAAAAAAAAAAAAAAAAAAAAAAAAAAAAAAATACAAGAGAGAAGAAAAAACCTAAAAAAAAAAAAAAAAAAAAAAAAAATACAAGAGAGGAAGAAAAACCCTAAAAAAGATAAAAATTCTAAAATAAAACATAGTAATCCTTTCAATTAACAGAATAGTAAAAGGAAAGTGTTGGATCTCATAATTTCAATTAATTATTTGCATGATTTGTGTGCTCATTATAATGGCTTCTTTTCATATTAATCAATAAAAAATAAATAATATTTTATTATTGAATTAAATAAAAGAAATAATATTTCATGCATAATTTTCACTCATCAAAAAGGCTTAATATCTTTAAATTTCTTCTAAAATACTTTTTTTTAATGTTGGAATTGTATGTTATATATGGGATGGTGGCTCAAATTATATTTGGCATAAGTTGAAATCAATTTTTAAAAACACAGACACACACAAATTTTACATAATGGAACGATAAAGCTAAACTATTTTAATTTCTTTCGACGAAGTTAAAGAATTACATACAATATGCAAAAGATCATAAGTTGAAATATCTGGGGTTGAGTTTGTGTTTGTATCTTTTTTTTTCTTTTGTCACTGCGAAGTGTGTTAGACAAGGGAAGGGAGAGTGGAGGGTGCTTTTGTCAAAATCGATAAACGACAGAACATGATTAAATGGGTTAAAGCAAGCAATTCTGATATGTAAATATAAGCTAATTTTGGCAATTCCATCCTCAGATTTCAACAATTTCATGCCTACCTAATTTGTTTGAGAGTAAAGATAAGTCTTCAACCAAACATTTATAAGATTTATTAGAAAGCACAAACATGAAGGTCTAACTGTGAAAATTATCAAGAATTTGGATAAGCTTAGTTGGTAAAGAAAGATGCCTTAGGCTTTCTTTTTATTATCTTGATTTTACTGTTAGGTTTAACTAAAATGAAAGCATTTTCCAATTTGAATTCTTTGATTTTGACATAAATAGCTTGTTTGTGTAATTGGTATAGGATTGATTCTTAATATATATTATTTTTAATATTATAAAAAAATATATAAAATTTTAACTAATAGAAATAAAATAATCAAGATTCGAACTGTGACAAATAGAGTTAGGTTTGAATCTCCCTCCTCCTCCAATACTAAAAGAAAAAAAAAATCTAATTCTAAAATTCAATATTAAAATTTGACTTATTTCTAAAAAGGTATTACAATTTGATTAAAAGTAAAAGAAAAACAAATTAAATTAAAACTACGGGCTAAAAAAAATACGATAGAACTTTCTTAAATGTTGCATGAGACAAAATCATTCTCAAATACAATTTTTTTTTTTTTTTTTTTTTTTTTTTAGACAAAATTCATTCTCAAATAACAATTTTTTTTCTTTTTTTTTTTGTTTTTTTGAAAAAAGTGAGCTACATTGGGAATTCTAAAGGTTGAAGAAAGTTACCTTTTTCTAAGGGTTGAAGAAATTATCCTTCCAAAAGCGAAAACACTTTCCTTTCTCTCTCTCAATTCTATTTTTTTTTTTTTTTTTTTTTTTTTGAAAAAAAGTGAGCTACATGGAATTTCTTAAGGTTTGAAGAAAGTTACCTTTTCTAAGGTTTGAAGAAAGTTATCCTTCAAAAGGAAACACTTTCCTTTCTCTCTCTCAATTCTTTTTTTCTTTTTCTTTTTCCCTTCTCAAGTCTATACACTGTTAGTTGAGGAAAGATGTGGCCCAAAATTGAAACCCTTATGAGAAGAGTTATGTGGCCCAAAATTGAAACCATTACAAGAGTTAATCAAAGGGAATCTTTCAATTTAAAATTAGCAGTGGATAGAATTAGAAACCGTAATATTGCCATCATTTGCAACTTTAAAGCTGACAGCTTTGGACACTGAGTTGCAGACATAGGAAGCCTCCATTGTATTTGATGAAAGAAAACATATCCGTAACAAAAGCTTTCAACGTATATAAAATCTGAATAATCCTATCAAAGATCAACATGTTTTTATGATTTTATATATACATAGACATACACAGACCTTACATAGCCATATATATAGGGAGAGTTGGCTTGAAAATTGCAGTTCTTGTGTTCTAAATCAAGAACTGGTTCAAACCTTTCATCCATGGAATTGAGATTCCAAGCGGGCTAAAGGGTACCTAAGAAATTTCAAATTTGAATTTTCTAAGAGCTGGACTGGGGAGGATGATAAGTTGATAACTATCTCTATTGTTCTACTCTTTGAGGCACAAAATTAATAAAAATGATAATAATAAAATAGCATGATTGTCTTGGATCTAGAGGAAGCATAAAATATTCAAAGACATTTATTGTCTTGGATCTAGAGGAATGCCACTTTTTCGAGGTATCAACAGCAACAATGGCACTGCTCAGTAGAGTGAAATTGTAGATCTATATCACAATGGTTGTAATGCAAGTTAAAAATCTAAATCATCTAAAAGAGACAATGATCAGATGGACAATAAATATAGATCAGAAGTGCCCATAATTAATGTCCCTCCGTCCTTCCCAAGTCAAGTAGTATTGAACTGCTTCTGATAGGGACATTGCCCTTTCAAGCAAGGCATTTGCAGACAGAAACTCATACCCAAAGTGGTTTCTCCATTAAGTCCTTTGAGAACAAGTACTGAAATCTTGAACTGTAAGGTAACCACTCTATAATCTGAGATGACTTTCTTGATTTATGATCGATGCATTTCTGAATAGAATCATGGAGTTTTTTATCAACATTTTCAGTAACCCACTTGAGAAGATCATCTGAGCTCATAGAGGCTTCCTTTGCAAATCTTTCGAGCAACTTGGGTAGGAACACTTTCCTTGACTTCTTTACAACTACATTTGCTTGAAGAAACTCTCTTTTCGCCTCCTCCAATTCTTCTTTAACACTTGATGCCATATAGACTTTTAGCTACAAAAAATACGTAGCAGGATAATTCTTAATACCTTAAAAGTGGTCATTGAAGATCACAATATCTTTGGAAGCAACAGTAATGCTATGTTTGGTATTGCACAATAGAATATAGTGTAATGTAATTAGACGCGTTCTCTTTAGTTCGCTGCTAATATGCAGAAACTAATAATGGTTTTGAATCACTTAGTTTTATTGCACTTGTGTAAAAGAGGAAGCAGCACATTACCACAGGATCGGAAAAAGCTCCAGTACAGAGGGCAAAACAGACTAGAGGTTGGGCATCTGAGAGGCCAAACTTGGAAGTAATAAGCTGCCTTTCTTCACTAGATTTTTTCCTCAAGGCAGTGGAAAGGATGGTCTCAAGCCACTGTAATTTGTACAAAACAAGATAAAAGAACCATGTTTAAGAAATATGGAATTGACTTTTCAGAATCATGAGAAGATTATAATCAAGATATTTCGGCTCAAAATGTTGATCTTTAATGTCTGTGACAGAGAAAGAGTGAAAAGCGTGAATCTCCAAGTAAATTCATCCCATGCTAAAGAACTAACAAATTCTGCTGTTCTGGTCTCAATGAACAGGCAGTAGCTCCTGGCTTACATAATTTGAATATGACCAACTTGATCAGATACAAATGATGACAAGAATTTGTTTTTGTTCATCTATAAAAAAGCACAAGGACTAAGGAAAGAGGAAAAAAACAATACATCACTAAAATGTGCAACAAAAGCTAGACAAAGGGCTTTGCCGCACAATTAACTACATTTGCCTTACACTTGAAGGGCTAGAAAAAGATTCTTTAAAGAATAATCAAAGCACAATATCCAAATACACTGTATTAATAATTGCAATAATAAAACAATGATTAGATCAACTGCTTAAATAATGTGGGTTGACAGTCAACAAAAAAGAGCTAGTGGGCTTAATTACGTTGAATTATTGACAATTTTCTGGACAGCATTAAGCTAGTTCAAAAATGATAAGAACAGCATACCTTTCCAACTCGGGGTGTTCGGAAGCAAAAGATTGACTGCTCTATGGCATTTGCACTAACGATATGGCCTCCAATGTTATAAGCAGCCTGCACTACACAGAAATGCTAATCAATTCTGATTCTCCACAAAATGCATATGAAAAATTACTAATAAAGAAAAGAAGGCAAAATGACAGACAGAACCCAGTGGAACTACACAACAGTGCCCATAAAACTCTTTGTGGTTTAAGACTCTATCTCTTCAGTAGTCCTATTCCTATTTTGTATATTGGATAACAGAATACGTAAATCAAATTCCTAATCATGTAACAGGAAATTATGGAAAAATATTTTGCCCTTGCTGCCTGGTGCTCAACAAGAAGAACTGCTTGAAAGAATGTTATGAGCAAACCTGCGAAACCTGATTATAAGTTTCCATTTCAATAATTGCTAGATAAACAGAAATAAGGAAGTTCACTACCTTATGAAACAACGCTAACCTCCGCAGAGAATTGTGGGGGATTCCATATGCTAAATATGCCTGCCCAAGACAATACTCTCTTATGTTACGTGAGCAAACACTGGAAAAAAAAAAGTTCTGGTCGGTGATCTTTACATGCATAACAAGGGCATTGTAGACATTAATCCAAAATGCAACTTGAGCATTGTTTTCCATCTGACTGACAGTCACCCTTTCCAGTTTTTCCACTAGAACTCTGAAATTGAAAAGATGAAATGCATGCTACATAAGTTTACCCGCACGAACAAAAAGATAAAGGAGACATCCACTAAATTTTGCCAAACTTTTCTCCTCTGTTTCTTCTTTGAAGAATTTTGTGTTTGAAATTTACCTGTAGTTATTGATGGCATAAGATGCATGAGAAAAGTGGTTTTTATCAGTTGATATCCAAGATATTTCTACCATGGATTTGCAAGACCAATCCCGGTCCTCTACAATACCACGTCGAGGGAGTACTACATTAGTGGATGACCTTGACAATATGGGTGATCTGTTTTTTCCAGGAGCCACAGATGCTGTACTACGAAGCCAACAGTATACTGCAGCCATACACCTGACCATTTCCTCAGACAACTTGCTTGGGCATTGGTATAAATGATCTTTCAGAGGTCTCAGCATTGAAGTTTTCTCCATAGTAGGAATCTTTTCATGCGTCTGAGAAACAACAAAGATAAGGAGATTGAGATTGACCAAATATCATTACATGATATGCATCAGTATCCTGAAACATATGAGATACTTTAATAGTCACAAGGAGTAGAGGTTGTCAGGATAATAAATGAAATAAAATTACTCCAACCAGTCCATGCACAAGAATCTTTGCAAGCAGAAGCATTGATTATAATTTTTTCACTCAAAGTTTTCATTGTTTGAAATTCTGTTTTCATTTCATAATTGTTACACTATGTTTATGACAGAAACCAAAATGGGACAAAGAGCAGTTTCTTTCAAATGCTCCATGAAATACAACAGAAGAATATAAATGATTTTATACGACATCCTAATGGAGTAGTAATATTGATTTCATACTGAGGAAAAAGAATGTAATTTCATTTTAATCTGTCAATTGCAGAAAACTGCCACCATTAAAGGCCTATTTTTAACTGAAGGTGAACTTCACAAGTCTATCCTGGTCGACTGTTCAACTGCGTCTCACAAAGGAAACTTTAAGAAACCTGCTGGGTCTGCTATAAACTTTTAGGAACCAAAATACCTAGGATTGTGCGTAAACCTAGTTTTCCAAATGACAAACTAAAAATAAATCAAATGCTTATTATGAACAGAAAAACAAGAAAAAGATTGGAATCATTTTCACACATTCCCAAAAGAATTCAGAAGCAGAAGACCTGGGACAAGAAATTCACTCCGTCGATACTTGCAATTCTCATGACTGGAGTGGAAGAACTAAGAAGTTCTATACATGCAAACCTTTTCAACCTCCTGACAAGTTCTCTAAATGCATACTAAGATATTGTTATGAAACAACAGGAAATTGAATTGATAATACATACCAATATTTGCGTCAAACTGATATTTTGATTTTTGAAAAGAAAATTTCAAAAGTTTTGCACTTTGAAATTCATTAAGTTTTTTTTTTTTTTTTATCAAAGAAATGCATAGAGAGAATGCAGGTGTTCTTTTGAAAATTACACTGTTTCAGAAAGAAACTAAAGAATAAATATATATCGTACCCTCATCCGGTCAAAACAAGTCTTCTCAAATTGAATATCGCTTTTCCCAATGGATGGTGGGGCATCACAAGCCTTGGAGGATCTTTTCCCAGACTCACTGATAGAAACTAGAGCTTGCAGAGGTCTCAAAGGGAACTTTTTTGAGGAACAAAAAGCGCTTGAAATAATACTTGGGTGTTTCCTGGATGCTTGCTTTATATGGGCAGGAGAAGCAACATATGAGTTTTGCTGAGAAGGATCCCGGCTGACTTTTTGTTCAAAAATACTCCTATACAGAGAAAGCACATGCTGCTCTCTGTTTGCCACCTCTTCTTCCAGTAATTCAATCTCTGAAATCAACTCCTTCGTCTGACATCAACCAATTATTTGCATGTTACTCTAAACTTGATTGATGAGAAACATATAAGAATATCTTTGCATGTATACCAATACCAAGCCAACTTTGGCATTATGCTATTGCATTTTTGACAACTGGAGGATAATTTATATGACACCCACTGCCTAAGCATGGGTAATAGGAGCAGTGGACAATGGAAGTGTGATGAACTTGAATGTTCTTGCAGAACTCATTCACTTCTTGTTAACTTTAATTTATATAATGTTTGTGTCAAAACTCTACTATCCTACAAGGGCGGGCTATGGGAAATAAGTTTTAGAAGGAAATAGAGAAATGTTGGTTCCACAACAAAAATTGAGTAGAAGTGGTTTTACTGGATAATGCCGGAAAACTAAGAACGCGATGAATAACAAAGACCCTTTGCAATCAGATGATCGTACAAGTACCTCAAAAAATCCCAAATGAAGAACATCGGGGGATTATTTATGTGTCTTTGTGCAAATTGAGGCCTTTTTGCATCCATACGTATGTTAATTAAAAGCAAAGGGAACCATTTGATGCTGCTAATGGTTCAACAAGAAACACTTCAAGCGCAATAACGGTAGCTATGGATTTAATTCTGCTCACTGCCAGAACAAAAATGAAAATTCTATAGGAATCAATCCATTAATGGAAAGTCACCTGAGTGGCGAAATGTCTATGTCCAGGAGATAATGTGCTTGAAGCTCGACCCATTGCCCTCTCAAGCATCATGCGCATAGATTTCTCTTGTTGCAAACGTAATTGCAGCACCTCAATCTGCAAGTCAGTTTGTAAATGAAATCAGATAAAATCTTGCATATTAAAGCAAGGGAAACAATCCAATGCTTACATCTTTTTCTAAGGAGGCTCGATGGTTTGATGAAGTATTGTTATTTGTACAAGTAGGATACTCATGGAGAGGACTTCGTGTCCTATAAGCCCTGTTTGGAAGTGGTGACATCTGTTAGATTCAGGGAAAAATATTTGTTAGTTATCTTATATTCCTTATCAAGAATGCTTTGCCAAGGATTGCAATTAAAAAGGATAACATAAAATGGAAGATAAAAATGTGTAGATTTCTCACATGTGTCCCATTCTGGTTCTTCTTCATAGAACGCAATGCTCCATCTCCTGAAGCGTCCAAGTTCCTTTCAGATGCACTGGAATTAAAAGGCAAGGACATATATATGATAAACAAAAAAAAAAAAAATCTAATGTTACCAATGGCTCAATCTTTTGCCAAGAATCACAAATGTTCATATTCCTAAATCCAAAATTTTCTATTGGTTTCAAAAATAATTTTCTGCACAGCAACAACTCGATTCAAAAGTCAGAAAATTGAAAAGGCAGTACCATATATAAAAGGCAAGGCAAGAACTTTCAAAATCCAAACATTTTATTCTCCATTTTAGATGCTTAATTACCCACTTTGAGTAAACATGTCATTGAATAAACAATCATCCAAAGATGCCATTACCAAATTTAAGTTATAAAATTTTACCTCTTAGAACGTCTGTGTTGGGCATGATTAACTGGAGGTGGCCAAGAAATCCCATTCCCTCTCTTCTTATGTGCACCTTCATGATCCTTGTCTACATTGAAACCATCCATTTCACTATTCCTCATAGACACCACACGGGGGCAATACCAATCAAAGCTTTTAACATTCTTCTTTAACAATACATTATGAAACTATACTTAAATAGTGGTATGAAGAACAACCACCAAAGGTTATAAAAAAAATACTGCTATATTAAAGAGATGCATTAAAAGGTTATGTTATAAACTTATAATTGAATGGAGAAAGGATTTGGAAGCATATTTGAAAAGGGAAGTTTTTGTGTAAAGAGAAAAATAAGAATGCCAAGTAAATAAAAAGCACACAAAAAAAAAAAAAAAATAGAGTTACCAAAGAGAAATGGGACCATGTAGAGGTACTGCTTCCATGGAGATATTGAATTTCATCACCTTTAGGTTGTTGGGTGCATTCAATGCGAGGATTTATTTCATCTGAACAAAGTTTCTGTCTTTCTGTCTTTCTGTCTTTCTCTATCTTCACAATTAGAAGAAAGGACCGTTAAGAAAGAGAGAAACTTGAAAAGTAGAGATTTTTGAAAGAGAGAAATGCCACATAAATTTTACGACTGCACGAGTGATGACCACTCTCTACCTGAGGAGAGTTACCCGCCAGAAATTCTGAGCCTGTTCTGGGTGCAGGATCTAGTTGATGACACTGGGATGCGAAAAGGGGTGCAGTGTAAGTTTCCATAGTTAGTATAAATTTACTACTCCCTTAGTTTATCAATTTCACCCTTCAGTGAAAAATGTGGTGCATATCAATATGAGTTATTTAGTTTTCTCCTATTTTTTTATGTACATATCATATTACAATATCTTATTTGTGAATAATGTAATTCTTGAAATGCACTCATAAATTTGCTAGAGGATGGGCCCATTCTACAAATTGTACTCCATACACAAACCAAACATCTGTGACCTTATCATTGTACAATTTCCTTTGAAAAATGAAATGATAGCATAATGAATCAGTCAACTATGATGCAAGAAATTAGATCACAAGCATAAAGGGAGTGTGGGGATAAGGATAACCCAAGTTTGAAAATTAATTAATTTTTGTTCTAATTCTTTTTTCTAATCTAGTTCAAGATTAGTACCCTAATAATGAGAAATTAGATTGATTAATCTCCATAAATAAGGTCATACCCTTGACCTTTTATTTAACCTGATTGAAGAGAGAGAGAAAATTCTTTCTAAAAAGTAGTTCTAAAAATAGGTGTTGTTTGATGAAATGCATTAAATTAGGTCATTTTCCTGATAAATTGACTGATAACTTCTCATACTATTTGATTATTATTTCACAAACAAACTTTTTATGAAATGATTTGGGAACAGTTATAAAAGGGTGTTGACTAACTAAATTTGAAATGGTTAAAATTTGTTAAATTTTGGAACAGTTTCCCTCTGAAGATAAGGGCAGGGGATTAAATGAGTTCATGAGTACATTTCTATCAACCCTTCTATTCATTATGTACCATAACATTTATTTGGGTCTACCCTGTAGAAGTAAGTCCATACATTATTCTATATTTATGCACCACAAACTTTTTAGTTTAATTTTTCCATTATGTCATTATATAACCCAAGGTATGAATTTATAGAAGAGAGAGAGAGAAGGATTTTGAATTTAAATCTTTACAAATTACTAAAATGCACCAAATAATTGATGTTATTAATGAAACTTCTAATTATGTAAATAAAAGCTGAGGACTTAAATATGGCTTAATTATTGAAATTTAAAAAGCATTAAATATATTTTCTTATTCATTAATTTTTAGAGGTCAATAGGCCAGAATAATATTGAGAGTTATACAACATATTCTCTTTCCATTTTTTATATTTGTCATTTAAAATTTTTACATATGAATTAAGGAGAGCAATAAATATATTAAATTTTAACAAAAATAGAGATCAAAATACTATATTACTCTTCTTAGAAATATAGTAATTCACGCAATTTAAGTAAATTTAAAATAGAGTTTAAGTTTAACATGCACTATTAATATTACTAGTAATAGAAGGGCAAATTAGGAAAGAAAAATGAAACATTGGAATCATAAAACATCACTTATTTATAAACAAAAAATAAAATGGCTGAAATGACAGAAATTAAAAAACAGAGAGAGTAGTTAGTTAATTCATAATTATTAAAATGATGCGATATTGACATTTTTAATTTTCCACATTCTTATAAAAAATGAAAAGCAAAATATATAAATTCACCTTCTATACTTTAGAATAATATCGCATAACTCTGCAAACATTAATAATTTTTTCGTATTTTGACTTTTATATATATAATAGTTTTTATATTTTTGAATTATTATTTAATAAGTGTTTAGTCTATTTAATTTTACAAATTAAAATATTTAATAGACAAAATTTTCTAAATTGAAGGATTTAATAAGTTTAATTTTATAAGTCGAAGTGTTTATTAAGTTAAAATAAAGTTAATAGTGTTATAAGATTTTTATATAAAGCAGCTATATATCTTCTGTTTCCTAAATGCAAACGACTTATAGTCTTTTACACATGACTCTATCATACAAATTCTACTTTGTATCTTCCATAAATAAGTCCCCAGTAGTAAACAGATCTTTAAACTACTCCCTCCACGAAGAAATGAGTGTCAACATTTATACTTTTTCTCGATCTTTAAGAAAATCACAAGTAAATTGAATATATCATTCTTATTTACAATAAAAAAGATTAAAAATTATAATAATTAACGTTTATTATTTGCAAAGGGTAAAAATGACAAAAAAATTATTATTTCTAAAATTGATAAATGTGACACTTTTTTATGAAACATGGTATTTTCACAGATGTGATATTTATTTATACACATGATCACAATTCGATTTTAAATTGAAACTTGAAATCAAACCAATTAAAATTGGTATTAAATCATGCTTAACGATATTTGGTTACAAACCGTAATTGAAAGTGTACTTATGATTCCATTCCTATTTTTCATTTTTTTAATTGAAACATGAAATTTAAAACAATTGGTTTTGGTTTGAAATGTGAAAACCCACTTTTAAAGAAATTTCCTTTTTTTTTTTTGTTTTATTGTAATATTTTAAAATAAATTTTAAAAATTTTTATTGAATTGATTTAATTTTTTTAATAATAATCTTTATTGTTATTGTTTATGCAAGTTATAAATTGAAACAAAAGTAAAAAATTTAAATAAATTATCTAATTTCGGTTTAAAGACAGAATAAAATTAAAATCGATAGTTTTAAAATTATTTTAAAATCCAATTAAGAGTGGACGGATTTTGATCCATTTTTTTTATAACAAAAAATAATAATTTTGAAATCGAAACCATAGTTATATTTACTTACTCGTGGATGGAAGGAGTAATAAAAACAAAAAGAAAACTGCTCAATGCACAAAAGCTTGTGAGTTTCGATTTTAGTTTGGTTCACAATTCACGAGGAATAGAAACTTGTAAGGACACCACCTGTTTTTGTGGTTTGTCGTTTTGCAGACAAAATTGCTGGCTTGTACATAGGAAAACGACAAGATAATTTATAATTAAAGGAAAATTAATAAATAAATTGCTGCGTTGCAATTGAATTAAAACCTCTGAGCTTAATTTTTTAAACTGTCAGATCTCTAAGTTATCATTTTTGTTAACTCTTGGTTCTTTTCATAAAAAAAAAAAAAATAATAAATAAAATGCTAACATAAATCATAAGAAAATACCAAAATATTAATGAAAATCACAAGTTAGAGACATTATAATTAGTTTGACTATAATTTAAGAATTAATTTCTCAATCAATTAACAGTTAGAATGTATTTGAAACACCCTGAATTTTTATTTTCGAAACTTTTGAATTTTTATTAAATCAAAAATTTGAATTTTTGACGGTATGGGCCGTAAATAGTGAACAATTATTTTTATTAAATCAGAAATTTGAATTTTTGACGGTATGGGCCGTAAATAGTGAACAATTTTAATTTGAGTTCAAGTTTTGCAAATTAGGCGCAAGCCCAAATATAATGTCGAAAATTTTGAATCGAGAACAATTAAATTTTCGAGTAATAATATGAAAGTCCAGCAATTAATCTATTATGTATATATATAAAAATTAATTTTCCTAAAAATCAAATATCATAATTGTTCATATTTTATTAATATTGAGTAAATGGAGAAAATATTATGGAACCAAACTAAATTGAAACCTAATTAAATAATTAAAATAAATTGAACCGGACTCGAAACTCAGATTGATTTTTAGAAAACCACACGAATAATCCGAAAACCAAGTGAAAAACCTACAAACTGGGCAAGAACCGAGCCAAATCATTAAATTAGACCGAACCGGTTCGAATCGAACCGGAATGGTCTAGAAGCGTTAGCCTTCTTTCTCGGAATGGTCTAGAAGCGTTAGCCTTCTTTCTTTTTTTTCTTTTTTTTCTTTTCCTTTCTTTCCTTCTTCTCGCGCGATCCCTCCCCTCTCCCTCCACGTTCTCCGATCACTGCACGACCAGGGTGGGTGGCGACTGCCTCCTAAAGCCTTAACGACCACGATTCTGGCCTCCTTTCACGCGGAAAGAGTCCCCCATCGGCGCGAAATGGGACTGTCACTCCGACAGCTCCCAGTTTGGATTTCCGTTGATCAAGCTTGATCCAGGCAGTTGATGGCCACCAGGTGAGCTCCGATCGATTCCTCCGCTTTGTGTGAACGATTTCCATCCAAGAAACGATGGTTTTGGTGGAAGAAATTGAAAACACCATGGTCGGCGGCGAGGAAGGGTCTGTCGGGCTTGTTCCTGCCAAACGAGCCACCGGCTCAACAAACACCGGCTCAACAAACTGATAGCAGATTTGGATTCCTCGCAAAAATTGGAGTCGGGTGGTGGTGACCATGCAATTTTCTGGGCAGTTTAATTTTTCCGGCCATCGTGCACGGCGGCGGTTCGGTGACCGGCCGGCAAAGTTCCGGCGAGGCCCCAAGAGGTAGAATGATCTCCTCGTCACATGGATCATGGAATTGTCGTCCGATTCTCAAACGGTACGCCCTAATACCTATTTCCCAATTTTTGTTTTAAACTCCAAATTTAAAACTATTAATTGATTAAGTTGAAATCAAATATTAAACTTTAATTGTGAACTTAAGTTGAAAATCAATAATATAATCCTTGCTATGAAATTAATTAACTGATATAATTGTAGTTACAAATTAATTTTGAACATTTTTATAATGTACATGGGTTATTGTTATTAAATAAGGTGAATTTGAGGGGGAACTAAAATTTAGAATTAGTAATATTTAGTTAAATTAGATAATCGATTGAGGTTTTTAAAACTACGGCGATTGTGACATAAGAAAAGTGAGGGCAAATTTTAGTTGGTTAACGGTTCAGATTCGAATTTTGATTAATCAAGGATATTGGAGAGGCGACTTAGCCATGTGTGTGCATATGATATTAAAAACCGATATTTGAATAGGTAAGTAGAATTAATTAGTTATGTGGTATAAAATATTGTTTTAGCTTGTTAAAAATTGGGTACGGTAAAACTAATAGATTTATTAACTATAGACTTAAGTATGTCTTATATGGATTTATTAGAAATTAGTTTGTAAATTTGATTGGTTGATATTGTTTGTTTTTTGGAAGGAAGGATGGGATTTTAAATTGATTGATTGCCGGACGGATGGGCTTGTGTGCACTGATTTGATAAAGATATGATATATTTTGATATTTGAGCAGGATATGTGAGCAGGTAGATAGTCCAATTTTTAGGAGAGGTGCTGCCGAAATTTCAATAGAACTTAGACTAGTTTTAAGTAATAACATAATTAATAAGTTATTTAGATTAATTCTATAACTTAATAAATATTAAATAGAGTGCTCTAATTATTTAATTATTTTCATTATCATTCATTGAATTATTCAATTATTTATTCATTTTCATTATTATCATTTATTTTATTGTTTGTTTATTGTTAATATTACTTATTTATTTATTTGCGATTGAGAATGGATGTTTAATTGTGCATTGCATTACGACGTTCAACTGATCGATATGTCTGCATTTGATTGCAATGTTTGATTAATTGTGTTGTGAAAATGCTATGCTTTGTTTGTGTGGAATTGGGATGAGCAAAGATGATTTGGGGTCACCATGGGTTTGTGGAGACCGTTACCGTTATATGGATCTTTGGTATTACCGGTTACCGTTATATATCGTTACCTCTATATGGATCCATTACTGTTAGCCGGGTAAATGGAGATCGGCGCCCCCGTGTGGCACCTTACCGTTTACGTTACGGGTTTAACCGGGTTGGCTTGGCATCGCAGTTGCGCACCGGACAGTGCTAGATTTGATTGCAGCCCGGCTAGCGGGTGGCCTCCTGTTTGTGAGCGCTTTTGTATGATTCTAGATTTTGGATGGGAGGACCAACCGGGTTGCACTCCTGTTGAGTATGAAAAGAAGAAAAGAGGGAATGGAAAAAACAATGAGAGAGGGCTAGGCAAGTGAAGGATTTAGACCGTCGGCCAGTATGGGGGGATCGGTTCCCTGGTGCACACTGTTTGAGAGGATGCGGCCATGTGGGAGGACGGCTTTCATCGGGGGTTCGGTGGACTCCATGAACTAAATTTCCCGTGATGTGATTATATGAATATGTTAAATAATTTGTGAGTGCTGGTGATGATTGCCATATTGTGTGACTGCTTGTGTGGCTACTAACTAGTCGGATGACTAGATTGATTATATTCATACATTTGTGCTGAAATGCGTGTGTGTGCAATAATTGTATTGTGCAATAATTATTATTCATTAATAAACTCACATCTCTTGTTTAAATCTTCCAGGAAGTAGCATTTTCTAAATCCCAGCTATAACTCTACTCCTTCACTGTTAAAAAGAGATTCTTTAATTTTAATGTTGATATATTAAGTAGATAAATGTCTAAAGACTTATCTGTATACATCTGTTAGTGAATTCCGCAGTTGTAGAATTTGTGTGCAATTAGTCGTGTATTAACATAGACGATGTAATTATGTGAGCCTATATTAAAAATATAATGTATTGTTAATTGGGCCCGAACTGTGGAAATGTTGTAATTGATAAATTTGGGCCGAAATTTAATAGAATCTTAAGGTTTATTTTTCTATAATTATAGGCTTGGAATGTTTTTAAATATTATATGAGATAATTAGTTATTTAGTGATTCCGGCTTACTATGGGCTACGGTGGCCCTAAGCTATACCTGAATTTGGGCCGAAATTTAATAGAATCTTAAGGTTTATTTTTCTATAATTATAGGCTGAATGTTTTAAATATTATATTGAGATAATAGTTATTAGTGATTCCGGCTTACTATGGGCCTCGGGGGCCCTAAGCTTACCTGGGCCCTAGTGCTGGTCCGGCCCATGGAAACGGGTCGTGACAGTATTATTTTAGATGGAAGGACTAACGTATTAATAAAATCACAATTTAAGGATATCATAGTTAGCTTTTAAAAAATAAGTCATCATATGTTAATTTGACTATAGCTTAGAGATCTTTATTATTTTTCCTTTATCCGTGTCGAATTACTTCTCCGTCCGTAAAACTATGGGATATGACTATATAATTAAATATTGAAAAATTATTGTCATTGTAACATAAATCTAAGGTAAGCCAACATAAGATTTATTTTTTAATATGTAGAAAGTTCAATTGACGAAAATAAAATTATAGACTATATAATATGACTCAAATTGTAGTTACTTCTAAATAACATTTATCGAATTAATCATAATTTTTATGGTGAAGAAGACTTGAACTTAATACTACTCGCTCTCTCTATTTTTTATAAGAAGTAAGAATAAAAGATTTTTTTTTAATCATTCATATATTTTTTTAGTTAGATACTGATGTATTGCAATTGTAGAAAAAAAAAAATATTGCTACCAATATCAGGTTCAATACATAAAAGGTAAGAAAAATAACAATTCGAAACAAAATTAGTTTTATATAAAAAATATAAAATACTCATAAATAAATAAAACATCACATCAATATCTTTATAAAGGCACGTTACAATAACTCAATTAATATATAAATGAAAGAGCAACGCCAATCGATCTACTTTTCAAGAGTGAAAAAAAGAAGATGAGTGCTTATTCAATGATAAGAAGTTCAAATTATTATAATTAATTAAGGTTGTAAAAACAAATTCTTCAATTAAACATTATTCCATCAATGGAGGAAGAAATAAATACATAGAGGCAAATTAAAATTTTCCACGAGTCTTCCAAAACATTAAAATAATATGAAAGTTGCCATATTTTTTATTACAAGTTCCTTTTATAGAACCTTGATTACCAACCGCAATTCATTTAAAATGTTATCTTTAAGACATAAACTAATGAAACTAATCTAAATAAATTAATACTAATAAAAGAATTCATAGATGATTGCTGACTCATTCACAAATTTCGACGGAAAAAAAAAATAAACAGCTTTTCTCCTTGCTTTTTATTAATTTTTAATATTTTTCTAAGATCATTCTTACATTTTAATTTCATTTTTCTTTTTTTTTTTTTACTTTTTTAGTTTTTTTACTAGTATTCTTACACTCTGATTTCATTTTGGGATTCACTGATATTCCTATGTATAATTTTTTTTAAATCAAAATTTTAAATTTACTGAAATTATTCATTGAATTCAAATATATTTTAACATTTAGCCGACTTATATAGATTTTTTTAAAATAATCATATTAGTTTAATTGGCAAAAAGAGTTGAATTGAAATGGTCTTAAGGAATAAAAGAAGAATAAAACTCAAAAATGATTCTTCTTTGTAGCTTTGGATTGGATTGCCAGCTCTTGGAATGTATATACATACACGTCAAAATGATCAATGATGACATAAATCATAGCTACCAACTCTTTGAACAAAGCTAACTATTGTTTTATCGATAAAAATTCATTATTAATTACAACTCCATTTTCTATTTTTATTTTAATCGTTTGGTATCCAAAGCCTACTGTCCTGATAAAGAGGGATAAAAAGCTTCTTCCCGAGTGTATAAAAAAGACTCTATATTGAAAGTTTGAACTCGAGACTTCTGATTAAGGGAGAAGGACATCTACCGTTCCATTTTATCATTCAGGGTTACAACCCTACTTATTTAATTCAATACAATGAATAAAATGAGATGACATTGACCCTCAATCATTAGGGTTATACACCATATTAGTTTACATATTTCCAAGAACATATGCTTAATTATACTTTATGTGGTGTGTCTATGTCCATTAATCATTATTAATTACTAATTAAGTTAATTGTCTTATGTTCATAATGCTGATAAAGTGATAATTAATCAAATAAAAGGCGGTCGGTGGCAGCCAATGACACTGTGCCACCACGTTCATGTGGGTCCCATGGTCGGTGCCGGCTATGATAATCCTTGCCAAACCTACTGTGAGCACTACATGGTTGTGTGTGTATATATATAAGTTCTATGTTTTGCTCATATCACATAATAAAACTCAAATAGCCATAATTAATAGTCATAAGGAAGGAAGCAAAAAATGGTGAAGATAGCTTTTGGCAACTTTGGGGACTCCTTTAGTGTTGGATCCCTCAAGGCCTATTTATCAGAGTTCATTGCCACTCTTCTTTTTGTGTTTGCTGGTGTTGGTTCTGCCATTGCTTACAGTAAGTGCAATAAACATAATATTTAAAACTATTATTTAAAAAAAATCATTATTTAAATATTCAATTCACTCTGAAAGCAAATTTTACTTGCTTCTAATTAATATTTCCAATAAATTATTTTTTCAAAACAGTAACAAAATAAGGAGATAAAATTCACCTGAAGAAAATACTGATAAGAAAATATTGGTTTGAAATTTTGTAGGTAAGCTTACAGCAGATGCAGCTCTGGACCCACCAGGGCTGGTTGCTGTGGCAGTGGCCCATGCTTTTGCCTTGTTTGTTGGGGTATCCATTGCAGCCAACATCTCCGGTGGCCACTTAAATCCAGCTGTCACGTTTGGATTGGCTATTGGAGGCCACATCACCCTCCTAACTGGACTTTTCTATTGGATTGCTCAATCCCTTGGCTCCATCGTCGCCTGTCTTCTCCTCAAATTCGTCACTAATGGAAAGGTAAAATAAGAAAAGGATGAGGAGTCTTGAGCAAGCAACTAGTCTTTTAAAAGGAACACATTGAAATATACATATATATGATTTATCGGTTCAAGTTAAAAATATAAACCGTCAAATGCGACTATCAAATGATTAGTTCTAGTTATTTTTGATAATAATTGAATCTAATCAAGTTTATCAACCAGTTAATTTTAGTTTGACTAACTGATCTGATTTTTAAAACACTTATTTTAACTCGGATTCAAATCAAACCGTGCAACTAGATGAATCAGGGTTAGATTTGTCTTTAAATAACCCTAGTTTTAACAATTATAAACTGAATTTTATGTTGAATTTGCAGAGTATTCCAACTCATGGAGTGGCTTCAGGCGTGAATGCTTTTGAAGGAGTAGTATTTGAGATTGTAATAACCTTTGGACTAGTCTACACCGTCTATGCCACAGCAGCTGACCCTAAAAAGGGCTCTTTGGGAATAATTGCACCCATAGCAATTGGATTCATAGTCGGTGCAAATATATTAGCTGCCGGCCCATTTAGCGGTGGCTCCATGAACCCGGCCCGATCACTTGGCCCCGCTGTGGTTAGCGGAGACTTTTCACAGATCTGGATCTACTGGTTAGGCCCATTGATTGGTGGAGGATTAGCTGGGCTTGTCTATGGTGACATTTTCATTGGGTCTTATTCTCCTGCCCCATCTTCTGAAGAGTATGCCTAAAATGGGTTATTAAAGGTGTTGACTGGCTTTGTGTTTTGGTTTCTTGCTTTTGGATTGGGCTTTGGCTTGGGCTTGAAGAGCTCGTACTTTGGTAATAATGAAAAATGTAAATAATAAATATGAATGAAGTTTGAGAATCTTGTTGTTAAGTCCTTTATTTTAGTTTTGGGTCTTCTTCTTTGAGTAAAATCCTTTAGTTATTTTTATCAAAAAAAAAAAAAAAAAAAAAACCTGTTGGACTTTGGGCTTCTTGAAGAAGCATCAAAAGTACTTTGGATATAATGAAAAATGGTAAATAAAATAAATATGAATGAAGTTTTGAGATCTTTTTTGTTAAGAATCCTTTATATTTTAGTTTGGGGTCTTCTTCTTGAGTAATTTCCTTTAGGTTATTTTTATTCAAAAAAAAAAAAAAAAGAAAAAAATCCTTTAGTTATTTTTTGGTTTGTAGTTGGTTCCATTAAAAAAAAAAAAAAAAAAAAAAAATCCTTTAGTTATTTTGGTTTGAGTGATTCCATTACATGTTTATTATGAAAATATGATATTTTTGAAGTACTATTAATAGAGCTAACCCAACGCATCCGAACAACAATGACAACAAGAAGTCAGCAACACAATAAATAATATAATAAAATAACAATAATGGAGGATTACTATTTTGTCCTATAATTTTGTAGAATCTACTAATTAGTTCTTGCCTTTTAAAAAATATACAAATGGGTCTTTATAGTTTAAAATCGTCCAATAATTTAGTATTTCTATCCAAATTTTATACCTTGTTATTAATTTTCAATGAAAAGATAAAAATTACTATTTTAATAACTATTCATATTATTAAAAATTAATTTTTACTTTTAGCGTAAAATATTATATCTAGAGTTGAACGAAGTATTATAGAATTAAAGAGTCGTATTTGAATATCTGATTGAATTTTCATTAATAGATTCCAAAGATATTAGTCTATCTATCAATCCCAAGTTGATATACATAGCGGCGAAAAATTTATATTTATACTTTATTCACGATTCTTTCAAGTTATTATTTAATCTACAACGACTTGGATTCAAATAATTTGAACTTGATGAAAGCTTTATAAATTAATTTCACTTGACTTATTGACTCGATCAATTAGCATGATATGAAATGTCATCCATTTGATTTAATTTGAATGATCCATGGAACTAATAGGATTAAATATCTAAATCCCTAAGGTTTGAAAAATTGCCCAAATTAACATAACACAGGATCTCACCTCCAAGTACCAAACCCGCTGTTTTTGGAGTTATGTACTATTTGCCCTTTCCCTCCTGGGCAAACTATTCCATTCCCTCTTATTTTTCCCGTCTTAATTGAGATTAACAGATGTACAAGTACAAGGACCTAAGACGAAGTCAGACTCCAAAACTTGGGGCCAAAAGAAAAATTTTCAAAATTAAAAGCCAAATCAACAAAAAACAAAAGTTTGTACTTTTATAGGTAAATTTTTAAATTGAGTTTAGAGGCGGGCTCCCTATAGTTCCTCTACTCCTCCGTCCTTCTTCGGCCACTGAAGTACCCACTAATTAATATCTTGTAAACTAATTTTTTAAAATTAGTTCAAGTGAAGACCCCACCTCGCTTCTTCCTTCCCTTTTTGCATAAAGTTGATAAGAAAAATAAAAAAATTTTGATAAATTTGAAGTGTTTTTACTATAAATTATTGGTTGATTTATATGAATAATAATCATATTGTTGAAATAAATAACAATTATATATGTTATAAGTAAAATGATTATATTGGTTGACATCAATAATAATCTTTGAGATATTTAATATTTTAGTATTAATCTAACTCCTAGTGATAAATTAATTCACAAAATAAATACATACTTAGCCAAAAGATATGAAATATATAATTAAGATATTAGTAGCTTTAGAATTTTGATGTGAGTCACAAGTGTAGGACATCAATTATTTGCCTCCACAAGTATGATTATGCGTTTAAAGTATAATTATTTCATGTAGGATAAGATTTGTTTATATTCGATGTATGTGATCACTTATATAGTCAACGGATAAAGAAGGAGTTTAAAAAATTATTGTTGTTTTATCTCTTTTTTTATCTTAAAATGGTCAGAAATATTCTATTTAAATAAAAATTGTCTTGGACTGGTGTGGTGTACAAAGTGAGTTTATGCATGGAGTGTAAGTCAATTTTCCCCCTCTCTCTAACATTTAGTTAGCAATGGTTTAATTTTAACAAAAATAAAAAGTTAAGAGCTCAATATTGATAAATAAAAGTTGAAGGTCTGAATGGTAAAATTCGATAAATTTAGTGTTTAAGGGGTTTATATTTGTTGTTTTGCTTACAAGAATCTCAAACATCATAGTAATGAGTCCATTGTAAGAACTAAGAAGAAGAAGAAGAAGAAGAAGAAGAAGCTTAGAAAGTCCTGTGCCGTAGCCTAAAGAAAACTCCTTCAAGCTTTCTTAAAAGAAGCCTTTGTTCATTCAAGAATGGCACTAATAATGCCCATGAAGATCTTGACAATTTGGTAAGAGATCAAAAACTTTCTCCATTGTTACGCAGCTTGTAATTAATGTTTTACTCTTGATAATGATCAGGTGGTTGTTGAAGAAAGAACAAACTCAAGAACTGTGATTCTTAACAGACCCCCTGTCCTCAATGCTCTTACCACTCCAACGGTAATTAATAATTAATTAATTGCAAATTAATACTCATTGCATTTTGACTTCTGGAGACAAAAGCTATATATTTTTTACAATTTTCTTGTAACATTAACAAATGTTGACAAAAAGCTTGCATTTCCAGAACTGGAGATGTAATTGGCAATTGAAAGGTAGGCCTAATTTGATAAAAATAAAGGACTAATTTGAAAAAAAGAAAAATACTAAGATTTTGTGTTTATGAAGAATTTAGCATAGCTGATTTGTTTTCTGTCTTGCCTTCCTTAATGATGAAAAATGATGCACATGAAAAGCTGCAATTTTGATGTGATCAGGGGATTCGGCTTATTAAACTATATGAATCTTGGGAAAGAGATCCCCTTGTTGACTTTATTGTCATGAGTTAATAAGTTATTTTACAAGTTGTTTGATTTTATTGCTTTTGCTTTTTTTAATTGGTTAGAAGGTCTGATGTATTGAAATAATATGATGAGTTATATGGTAGAAATAGTCTTTTTCCTCTATTTATCAAATTAGTGAAAATGCTTATAGTCGAGAGCACTAGAATTTAGGATTTTCCATCTCTCACATTAGCAAAAACATTAATTAGATCACACCTAATTGACTGATGATTCCTTTTTCAATAATCTTATGAGTAGTGTTTTGATTTTTGAAGGGAAAAGGCAGAGCATTTTGTGCTGATGGTGATGTTAAACTATATGACCTCATCACTTAAGGTGGAAAATTTTCCAATTAATATTACGCATGTTTCATAATATTTGTCACATTTGAAATTTCACGTCTCTTAATAAAACCATTAAAACTTTTAAGTTACAATAAATTATTGAGTAAATTAATTATATTATCCTTAATTTAATACTAATTCTCTAAGAAAACCATTAAATTGAAGTAGTAATTATTAGTCGTATACAAAGGGTAAACATGAAAAAAAATATATTTATTACTCGTTGAAAGCATAAATGTGATAAATATTTTGAAACAAATTATTTTCTCAAACGTGACAAATATTATGAAACGAATGTAATACTATTTACTATTGTAATTAGAGAATTCTACTTGTAGTTATTATGAAATTGGAATTAATTCATATGAAATTGGAATTAGTGCTATTAAACTAATAATTTAATTAATTGATACCGATAAACTAATGATTAATCTAATATCAAGCGCCAATTCTGTAATATAAAAGAAATAGATATTAAAGTCCTAACAACTCTTTTTTTTTTTTTTTTTTTTTTTTTTTTACTCCTAACAACTCTTTTTTTTATTTTTTTTTTTTTTTTTTAATTCTGATAGTCTACCAAAGAATAAATTTAAAAGACGTAGCATCTTAATCGTTAGTCTAATAATTATATTATTTTGTACCTAACCCTTCGTTCTCTATTTTTTTTTTTTTTTTTTTTTTTTTTAATTCTGATATCTACCAAAAGAATAAATTTAAAAGAGACACTTAATCGTTAGTCTAATAATTAATTATTTGTACTAACCCTTGTTCTCTACTGCTGTCTTCCTTGTAGGTTGCTATATTGGACGGCATTACAATGGGTGGAGGTGCTGGTATTTCAGTCCATGGTTCATATAGAATTGCAACGGATAAAACTGATAGTGTCACAAATTCTGGATTTTTCTTTCTTCTTTTTTTCCCGTTACACATTCCACGCCATTTTTTTTTTTCTAATAATGTTCAAATTTCTCTCGTTACACAGGTTTTTGCTGTTCCTGAAATTCTTATTGGCTTGCATCCTGATGCTGGGGCTTCATACTATCTTTCACACCTACTTGGATATCTTAGGTTCTTTAATTAATCTTTTTTTTTTAATTAATTAGACTGTAATTCAAGTTTTATTACCAATACCAAGCATTAATTTCTTGGGAAAAATCATCCTGAGAAGGAAAAAACTATTTCTGTCTCTAAAGTTTTCAAACCATTAAGCTGTGTAATTTTTGAAAAATTATGTAAACTTTTAATAATTTATAAATTGCTGTTAGCGATTTTTTCATAAATTTTATTTTTGACATTAAAGAAATCTTCAATTTGAATAAATAAATAAATATTCGAAGGTTCAATATAAAATGTAAAACTATAAGAATTTAAACAAACAAAATAGGACAAATTTAGGTGTTCCAAAATTGGATTTTCCTTTGTTTTCTTTTTCCTGGAATGATATCACTTATAGGTGCAAGTTGATTTATAATTTATAACAATCCTTTTGTCTTCTCTGTTTTTCAGGTGAATACTTGGGTCTAACCGCTAATAGGCTCAGTGGAGAAGAAATGGTTGCTTGTGGATTAGCAATCATTTTTCACCAAGTGCAGCAAGTGAATATTTGTCCACAATGATAAGATACAGTGTAACATGATGAAATGATTCAATTTTTCATATTTTTGTATGATTATGTTTAATTATATTTTACCAAGTACGAGTCCCTTTCAATTTTTTCAACTAATTCAGTTATAAAAAAAAATCAG